TAAAAAATGAACTCCGGTATATATATATATATATTGAGGTAAACTGTTCCTTTAAGTGTTCCTTTAACTGTTCCTGATATTCAATCATTTAAAGGGATAGTTTGCCCTATATATATATATATATAGGGCAAACTATCCCTTTAAATGATTGAATATTCAGCCAAAAAAAAAAAAAAAAAGAACTCCGGTTAGTTTTTGTCTACAGTTTTTGTAATCACAACCCTTGACCTTTCCACCTCACATGTTTGCGTTGCTAATTTTATTAATATTATTTTAAAATTGTTCTTTTCACATTATTTTACATCACATATTGTAATGTAATAGCCTAACTAAATGTAATTTATAAACTATGAGTCTAAAGGACACACTTTATAATTATGATTTTAAAACGCAACTGGAAATAATGAAAAATGCTTGTATGTAAATAATAATAATAATAAAAATGAATAAAATAAATAAAACTCTCTCTAATCATTCAAACTCAGTTAAAAGCTCGTTTAGTCTTAGTTCAGTGTTAGTTATCACAACTTTGACCTTTCGTGTTCCCCCTAACCTGTTTGCTTCTGTCCTCTGCTCCTTTCCTGTCGGTCTCCGCCTGCTCGGCCTGGTCCAGGGCGTTCTCCTTATCCAGCTTGAGCATCAGCATCTTCTTCTTGATGGCCTCCATCTTGGTGTCGCTGGGTAGGGCTCACGGGACAAGAAAAAGAAAGTGGCGGTGCAGTGGACGAGGGCTACGAGTTTAGGGACAGGAGCCGGTCAAGTGAGGAACGTGGAGAGAGGAAGAGAGAGAGAGAGGGGGTAAAGTGGGGAAAGACCAAACTCTTCTAGGGATAGTGGGAGGGCATTTATAACTGTGGGCATCATGCCCCGCCCCTTTTCCATTAAACCTCACCCACACCCTCATTATAGCTCACCTAATACAGTCATGAGGCCAGTTTGGTGACTAATGAGGCGACGCTGTAGTGATGTTACGTCGGATTTCAGGACCTTATCTTCTCTACAATTCTGTTTAACACTAATGTCGTCGACACCAATATATTCACTAATATATTCCTACTTTTCATTTCCATCTTTTGTTTTCTGTTACTAGATCTTCCCATTGTGGAAGAAAGAGTTGGAAGATGACAAAGACAAAAAGAATGGACAGAGCTGAGGTCCAGCTATAATAAGACAAAGCCGCTGTGTTTGTGACAGGCACAGGTGTCTGTGTGTGTGTGTGTGTGTGTGTGTTTGTGTTACGTTACATTACTAGCATCCCCAGCTGCACCGTTCCCTTTATGGCTCGTCAGTCGCCACAATGATCACTTTACAGGCTTTTTCCTAATGTGAGGCACTGTTCTATCATTAACTCGCCTGACCACGTATAACAAGGCTTTGGGGAACCTCTCTTGATGTGTTCAACATTCCCAAACACACAGCCATCTAGATGATTTACCTCTCTAGATCTGTATTTATTCATAGAGCAAAGGGCTTATTTTGTTCATTTTATTTTTTTATCATTGTTATTTGTTTTAATTTTACTTTCTAAGCTTCCCCACTATTGTACATCACATTGTACTATGTAAATCGTGTGACTAATTACAATTATAGACACAAGGCCTTCTTTATAATTACGATTTTAAACATTTTAGAATTAGTAAAGTAATTAAAAATATGAGATAACAAAAATATGGGATTTATGTTGGGATCAAATAATGCAAAACAAAATGCATTAAAGTGCACTGTAAAAAAATATTGTTGGTTTAACTTAAAAAAAAAAAGTAACCTGGTTGCCTTAAAATTTTAAGTTCATTGAAATGGAAAAATTGAGTTAATATGAAGGAGAATGATTTAATCGCCAGAAACTCAAAATATTATGTTATCTGAACTACATAAATTATAAGTTGATTTGACAAAAGAAAAAGTGTTGTGATTACAAATCATGAATATTTTTTACAGTAAGATTTCATATTTGAAGTATATACAAATAAATTAAAAATAAAACAATATTTTTTTTTCATGTAAGTTAAAAAAGTAACATTGGAATAGTTTATAGTTGTCTACTAAACTTGAATTAAAAATATTGTTGGTTTGACTTAAAAAAATAAGTAACCTGGTTGCCTTAAAATTTTAAGTTCATTGAAATGGAAAAAAATGAGTTAATACAATGAAGGAGATTAATTTAATCATCAGAAACTCAAAATATTATGTTATATGAACTACATAAATTATAAGTTGATTTGACAAAAGAAAAAAATGTTGTGATTACAAATCATGAATATTCTTACAGTGACATTTCATATTTGAAGTATATAAAAATAAATTAAAAATAAAACAATATTTTTTATGTATGTTAAAAAAATGACATTGGAATAATTTATAGTTGTCTACTAAACTTGAATTAAAAAATGAAGCTTAATACACTGTGAAAAAATATTGTTGGTTTAACTTAAAAAATAAGTAACTTGGTTGCCTTAAAATTAAGTTCATTGAAATGGAAAAATTGAGTTAATACAATGAAGGAGATTGATCTAATCATCAGAAACTCAAAATATTATGTTATCTGAACTACATAAATTATCTAAGTTGATTTGACAAATGAAAAAATGTTGTGATTGCAAATCATGAAAATATTTTTTTTTACAATAAAAAGTAGGGAAATTCTCCTGTAGCATAGATTTCCACATCATTCATCCATCACTCTGCATTACCTTTAGAAGTAGGCCTACCTAAAGATTAGTGATAATATGAAAGCAATAGTGATTAGCCTTAGAAAATGAGTCATTCATGTGCATCTTAAACTAAGCGCTTGCTGAAGTGAAGGGACAATGGTGGTGTCGGGTTATGGCTGACCAGACTATTTTTAGTCAGGATGCCAGGCTAAAGTTAAAACTCATTGTTTAAGAATAAATCAAATACAATGTATTTGTATTCAGACTCACTTATTATACAATGGTATTCAGAAAGGAAGAAACGACATTTTGTATTATGCACAAATGGAACGTTTACACAAGTCAATGCTTTATGATAAAGCTCTTAAATATATCACATAATTCCTGCAGTAAAGGCAGTTCATTGTAAGGGGAAAGGAACACTTGCACTGTAGAGCCAATGCACCACTTTATTTTAAGTGCTCCTTTTGTTTGATAGATGTAATTGTTCTTCTAACTCACTCTTTTGGTTTAGGACAGTGAAGTGATGGATGAGGTAGTGTGTGTGTGCGTCTGAATGCCAGCTATGCTGCCTGTGCAACCAAGCTATTAATACTCGTCTCCTGGCTGACATTGTTTTATGGATTAGCTGCTATCCAGGGACAAAGATTTGGATATAGATATTGAAATGTAAATGCACATATGCATTTTAATTATATATATTTGACTATTATTATCATTGTTATTTATATTAAAAAAAGGATAGAAAATTAATGAAAATCTGATTGTATGCGATTTTGGAAATAAATAGATCTTTGGAACACTAGATTTAATATAAAACACTCTTGGTAATTCGTAACTAGTTTATATTTGGCGTATTTGTCAGTAGAACCTCACTGCAGTACAAAAGATCCAGGGGGCGGAGTCAGATCCAGATCTGAGGGGTGGAGTGAGGTAGGTTTAGGGGTGGATTTAGGGCTAAGGGAGTGGAGATGGGTAGGTTTAGGGGTGGGGTTATGGATCAGGGGGTGGAGCTGGGTAGGTTTAGGGGTGGGTTTAGGAATCAGGGGGTGGAGCTGGGTAGGTTTAGGGGTGGGGTTATGGATCAGGGGGTGGAGCTGGGTAGGTTTAGGGGTGGGTTTAGGAATCAGGGGGTGGAGCTGGGTAGGTTTAGGGGTGGGTTTAGGAATCAGGGGTGGAGCTGGGTAGGTTTAGGGGTGGGTTTAGGAATCAGGGGGTGGAGCTGGGTAGGTTTAGGGGTGGGTTTAAGAATCATGGGGTGGAGCTGGGTAGGTTTAGGGGTGGGTTTAGGAATCAGGGGGTGGAGCTGGGTAGGTTTAGGGGTGGGGTTATGGATCATGGGGTGGAGCTGGGTAGGTTTAGGGGTGGGTTTAAGAATCAGGGGGTGGAGCTGGGTAGGTTTAGGGGTGGGGTTATGGATCATGGGGTGGAGCTGGGTAGGTTTAGGGGTGGGTTTAGGAATCAGGGGTGGAGCTGGTAGGTTTAGGGGTGGGTTTAGGAATCAGGGGGTGGAGCTGGGTAGGTTTTAGGGGTGGGTTTAAGAATCAGGGGGTGGAGCTGGGTAGGTTTGGGGTGGGGTTATGGATCATGGGGTGGAGCTGGGTAGGTTTAGGGGTGGGGTTATGGATCATGGGGTGGAGCTGGGTAGGTTTAGGGGTGGGTTTAAGAATCAGGGGGTGGAGCTGGGTAGGTTTAGGGGTGGGGTTATGGATCATGGGGTGGAGCTGGGTAGGTTTAGGGGTGGGTTTAGGAATCAGGGGGTGGAGCTGGGTAGGTTTAGGGGGGGTTTAGGGATCAGGGGGTGGAGATGAGTAGGATTAGGGGTGGGGTTATGGATCAGGGGTGGAGCTGGGTAGGTTTAGAGATCAGGGGGTGAAGATGGGTAGGTTTAGGGGTGGATTTAGGGATCAGGGGGTAAAGATAGGTAGGTTTAGGGGTGGGGTTATGGATCAGGGGGTGGAGCTGGTTAGGTTATGGGGTAGGGTTATGGATCAGGGGATGGAGATGGGTAGGTTAAGGGGTGGGGTTATGGATCAGGGGGTGGAGCTGGGTAGGTTTAGGGGTGGGGCTATGGATCATGGGGTGGAGCTGGGTAGGTTTAGGAATCAGGGGTTGGAGTTTAGGGGTGGGTTTAACTTTCTTAAATATACATGCATGTGTGTGTATTTATATATATACAAACAGTGCACCCACATTGTTTATGTAAACACAAACTTTCATTTTGGATGCGATTAATCGTTTGACAGCCCTAATAGTTACATCATCTCATGAGAATGAATTTAGAAGACTTCAATATTAATATTACTAATATAATTTTTCTGCTGGATAAGATAAAAAAAACAATCCTGATGATGTTGTATGCCAACAGTTTTTATTTGATCCACTTCGATATATCTGAAACACTGTATGAACATTTCAACAATGTTTCTGTCATTTTCAATACAAACATTTGTGTGTGACTTCAGTAAATCCTATGTTTTCTTATAGTTACTTCAAAACATGAAGAATATCATCCTACAATAATTTCTAAGACGTTGCTTCCTGAAATGTTGAACTGGCTAAAATAAAAGCATATATTTCAGCAATATTCAGCCAAGCACATTTTGGCACATATAGTCAAGTAGTGGCAAAAAAACATTCTTAAACAAAATTAAAACATAAGCAAAACTATAGTTAAGACACATCAAATGTTGGCGTTACTGGCAGATTTTGGTGATGTGATCTATTTTAATCAATAAATCGTCTTTTATTTACAAAGTATTCCCCATTAACACACACTGTGGGTTGAGGAACCATTTATAATATCATACTACTCTATCATAATAACCTTCCTGGGTTTATTAAGATCATTGCTATAGATGTAAATATATATTGCTATAAATTGCAATATAAGTCCTTCATAAAAAAATCCCTCAAGTCTCTGAAATAGTCATTTTTTGTTATAGAGCCAGTAGTTTTGGTCCCAGTATATTAAGTTGGTATATTTCAAGTTATGGCTTCTTTCTAACTGCTTCAACATGCCTGAAACAATTGATCCTTCCATTCAAAATAAAGGAAAATAAATAAATGTAAAATAAAGCGCAAGAAAGAGACATTTCTTTACAATGACCTCTCACGAACAAGAACGTTTTGCATGCTCCAGCATCGGTACAATGATCTCACATACAGTACATAAATCTCAACGGTTTTTGCCGGTACCCTTGAGCCGGATCAGTTATGTTTGGTTTATTTAGATACTTTAAGAATTTTAAGACAACTATCAAGTGCAAAGTCCCATTATTTGCATGACTCCATCTACATCACGGTGCTTTGGCATATCCTTATTGGTCCGTGGATGTCAAAAGCCATATGTTTGGATTCCAAGAAGACATGTTGAATATTAACATGTCATAAACGGCCACACAGAAGCTGTAAGCAAAACTACTGGATACAACTAAATACTGTATGTATATAATGAAATGAATATTCATAAACTAAGTAAGATTCTTCCCTGTTTGGTGGAAGATCTGCTCATGGAGTCTATAGTCTGTTCCAGGCCAGTCTTGGGTTGAGAAATCAAAAATACATTAGCAGTGCGAAACCTCTCGGTCCCGGTCTGTCGTGGACTCGCTCTCTTCAGGAATGTCCTGCAGATCTGTAGATGATGAAAAAAAAAAATCAATTAAGTAAATAAAGTCATATTGTGTTTGCTGTCACAAAGCTTTGGATGTCCACAATGTTTATTTCCACTAGATGGCGCTTGTGTACTTCAACACTCATTTATTTCAGCAACTTTGAATCAGTTTAATCTGTACATTTTTATATTTCAACTATTTTATAATGCTTGTTGTGATTAATATACTCAACTGTTGTACATTTGAGCAATAATTCTTTTTTCTAAGAGTTTTATGGATATATTTGATTTTGTTCCCATCGTGTCTTTGTATGTCACTTCCTGTTTTTGCCGTGGAACAGCGAGTCAGAACTGCGGTCGGAGTTTACAATTCTCCTGATTATATTAAAAGATGTAATCGCAAGGTTTAAAGTGTTTATCATTATGATAAGTCATGCAATCAAGAAGCTTCAAGATGTAACCCCCTCTCTTAGCTCACAAGCAGGCAAAAGTGGTATGTATTTTCTGTTTATGTACGAGTTTAAACTCGTGTGTTTTCCATGTAACTGACTGTGATATGTTTTGGTTGTATATTCATCCTTTTAGTTCTACGGTGTTGATGTTGATGTCTGAGTCCAGAGAGCATTAAACATCAGTTAAAAGAACCTCAGCCTTCGTGTTGTGACTAAGAGCGGTACAGTAGAACACTTTCTGCGTCGAAGAAGGCCAAAGCAACTGATCGTAAAGCTGCACGAGGAAGACGGCCATCAAGAGGCGCCACGTGTTGAATGAGGGAAGTACAACATGAAAATATCACAATTGACTGACTAAAGCAGCCAGTGGGCAAGTGAAGGCTGAACAAGCAAGCACTATTAAAGTTAGTGACTTGGAAGCAGCACAAGGTCTTGTGAACTGTTCGCTGAAGTTTTAATCAATCTGGTATTTCTGTCATCCTCATTCTGAGAGAAAGTTGGACATTTTTCTATTATCGTTTGACTTAAGAAACTGAAGGGATTAAATAGATAGGCAATTGTGCTACTATTGAATTGAAACTATTGAAAGACTAAAATTTGATTTTTTTTTGTTTTATTCAAGTGTTTTGCATACCTTATGATTTAAGTGTGTTGCAAGTTATAAGTTCATACTTTGCTACTTGACAGTTCTACATTTTTTATATTTTACATGATTCAGTCATAAGTCAAGCTGAGATAATCGCTTTACACTAAACCTTAGATTTATTTTGAGCTCTTTGAATATTCACATTATAGTGCAACACAGGCCATGTCATACACAAGTGAAAAAACATTGCTGCCTATTAAAGAAGTCAGCTCTACACACCATACTTCACAAGACGAAGGCAGTGCAGAGCAGGTTATCCCACCACAGCAGGATATAACTGATCAAGTTGAAGTGGCTGCACAAGCACATCAACCTCAGGTTGACGCGGATAATACACAGCTCCCAGATATCAGAAGAAGTCAGCGAGTACGCACGCTTACCGAGAAGGGTAAAACACTGCTAGACGCTAGACTAAAGGATCTGGAAAGAAGCTTTGATCAGAAGTATAAAAGGTGGAAATATCACATCAATGGATTGAAAAGAGCCATTAAGAACAATGATGATGCAGAATTGATTTGTGAAGTTGTGAGCACCATTAACACCATTCAGTCTGAGGTTGACCATATTTATGATGATATAAGAAGCATCACAAGCCCGGAACCTGAAATCAGAAGAAAAAATGACACTTGTCTTGCCATTACTAGCATTGCAAATGAGAAGTCTCAGAGCTTTCTCAATGGTGATCCTAAGGAGATTCCCTGGCCTGATTCAGATTCAGTGTTTGAAGCCACGGTGTCCAGCGTTATCTCAGCAACCTCCAGTAAGTCAAGGTCTGTTTCCAAATTGTCCAGTCGATCTTACAGTGATTCCCTGCAGAGAAGACAAGAAGCAGCAGCTGAAGTAGCGGCTACACAAGAAGTGATTAAAATAATGAAGACGCAACATCAACATGAAGAGGAAATTAGGAAACTCGAGGCAGAGGATAAAAGGTTAACAGCAGAAAGAGAAGCTCAAGAAAGAGAAACTGAAGCGGAGAATGCAAGGAAAAGGGCTCAATTTATTTCAGAAAGCACTGTAAGGAAAATAAAGCTGGAAGAAAAGAAAAAGGAAGTGGAACGGTTGGAGGAACTAAAAAGACACAACGCAGCACAAGCAAGGCTGCAGGTTTACGCTGAAAGCATCAAAGGTGATGAAGGAGAACGGCATTCTGCTCCTCTTCTTCAACAAGGACAAGGAGGTTATATTTTTCAACCAAGTATTCCTTTTTCTCTTTCTAAGCCATTCATACTCGCACAAGACACTGCTCCTTTCAACCAACCCTCTTGTCCCTCTCAAGGGTTACCAATTCCCCAAGCCCATATCCCTCAGTCACCTTCACTGCTTGCTCCCAACGAAGCTTCTAATGACCTTGTGAAGGCGCTCGCTGAAGCGATTACAGCCAATAGGATCCCAGTTCCAGAACCTGTTATTTTCTCTGGAGATCCCCTAAAGTATAACGACTGGAAGCTGTCTTTCCAGACATTAATTGATCGCAAGAACTTGCCACCTCAAGAAAAGCTGTATTTTCTACGCAAGTATGTAGCTGGTCCGGCCAAGAGAGCTATTGAAGGACATTTTGTGGCTGGAACAGAAATAGCTTACATGGCAGCCTGGAACATCCTCGATGACAGGTTCGGCAATCCATTCGTAGTTGGCAAATCTTATCGTGACAAAATACAGTCTTGGCACAAGATTGCTACCAAAGATAGCAAAGATCTCCAGGAATTTGTAGATTTTCTAAGCAGTGTTGAGTCAGCCATGCCTTATGTTCAAGGTTTACAAGCTCTGAATGACTGTGTTGAAAATCAGAGAATATCAGCCAAATTGCCGGACTGGTTAAGTTCACGTTGGAATAGAGCAGTCACCAAGTTTCAAGACGAACACAAAGGGTTCCCAGATTTCAAATACTTTGTTGAATTCCTTGTCAAGGAAGCTCGAATTGCATGCAATCCCATCACGTCACTGCAAGCAATAAAGCCAGCAGAGCAAGAAAGGTACAAGCAAACAGATCAAGATCATAAGTTTCAGCGGAATCGCAACTCAACTGCCAAGACATTCACCACTAGTTCGAACGAGGAAAGGACCTTTATCTGTGTCTTTTGTAAGAGGTATGGCCACACCCTTCATAAGTGTCGTAAGATTATGGAAAGACCGATTGAGGAAAGATTGAAGTTTGTACAGTCTGAGAAGTTGTGCTTTGGCTGTCTTAAGGCTGGTCATAACTCCAGAAGCTGTTCCTCTAGGAGCGTGTGCGAAAAATGTGAGAAGCGTCACCCAACAAGCCTACACCAGGACCGTGTAAATAAATCCCCAGAACAAAGATCTAAAACCAGTGAAGATCAGTCCAAGGTTAATCAAAGATCTGCAGATAGATCAGCCGAATCACATAAGGTACAAGAGTCTAAGCCTGTGACTTCGAACAGAGTAGTTCAAGAAAGGAACGGCACTCATACCTCATCGATCATTCCAGTTTATGTCTCAACAACAGCTGAACCAAGGAAGGAGATTTTAGTGTATGCCTTGCTGGATACACAGAGTGACACTACTTTCATTCTAAAGGACACAGCTGAGACACTTGATATCAGGAAAGAGCCTGTCAAACTCAAGATTTCTACAATGACATCCAAAACGAAAGTTGTGTCCAGTCACAAATTGAATGGACTACAAGTAAGAGGGTTCCAGTCCGAAGTTAAAATAAAACTTCCAACAACTTACACTAGAGACTATATCCCTGCAAATAGATCTCATATACCCACGTGTGAAACAGCAAGGAACTGGCCTCATCTAGAACATCTGGCAGATGTAATGGCTCCTGCACTTGACTGTGAAGTAGGTTTGTTAATAGGATACAACTGTCCTCAAGCCTTACTTCCCAGAGATGTTCTCAGTGGCAGTGAGAATCAGCCTTTTGCACAAAGATCTGTGTTGGGTTGGAGTATCGTTGGATACAACCATGATGACTGTTATCAAGATGAAATCGGTGTGAGTCACAGGATTATTATGAAGCAAGTTGTACCAGCTGGTGATCCAGCTCACAAACTCCAGTCTGAAGTTTACTTTGTACACAGGAACAAGGTAAAAGAGATGATCACTCCAGCAGAGATAATGAAAGTTTTTGAGTCGGACTTTGTTGAAAGGGGTGAGGAAGTCTCAACATCACAAGAAGATTTAAGGTTTTTGGCTAAATTGAATGAAGGCATTAAGCAAACGCAAGATGGACACTATGAGATGCCATTGCCTTTTAAGGGTGAGAGACCAGAGTTACCAAACAACAAAGCATGTGCAGAGCATCGACTCAGATCTCTAGAGAAGCGTTTAAGGAGAGATGAGCAGTACCGAAAGGATTACCTGGCTTTCATGAAGGACATAATGGCAAGAGGTGATGCTGAAAAGGTCCCGGAGTTCGAGTTAAGTAATCAACCAGCATGGTATATACCTCACCACGGAGTATATAACCCGCAGAAGCCAGGCAAGATTCGCGTCGTCTTTGATTGCTCTGCAAGATTTCAGAATACTTCTCTGAATGAGCATCTACTGACTGGGCCTGACCTCACAAATACCCTTGTTGGAGTCTTGTGTCGTTTCCGGAAAGGGCAAGTGGCCATCATGTGTGATGTGGAGCGTATGTTCCACCAGTTTCATGTTGCTCCGAAGGATCGGGATTACCTCAGGTTCCTATGGTGGGAAGATGGAAACATGAACGCCCCACCATCAGTTTTTCGAATGAAGGTTCACTTGTTCGGAGCGGCCTCCTCGCCTGGGTGTGCAAACTTTGGCCTCAAATACCTTGCCATGCAAGGTGAAGGCAAGTTTAATCAAGCCACAGTTAAGTTCATACAACGGAATTTTTATGTTGACGATGGTTTAGCAAGTGTAGACACTGAAGCAGACGCAATCCAGCTTGTAAGGGAAGCCAGGGGTCTCTGCAATACCGGGAAGCTTCGCTTGCATAAATTCATCACCAACAGCAAGACTGTGATAGACACAATTCCAAGGGAGGAATGTACTGAAGGGGCGACTGACTTTGACTTGTCACTAGGAGAGCCAAAGGTAGAGAGAGCGCTTGGAATCCAGTGGTGCATAGCTGCAGACGAGTTCCATTTCAGAGTGTTGGAAAAGGAAAATCCTTTTACTAGAAGAGGAGTGTTGTCTACAGTTGCTTCCATTTTTGATCCACTTGGATTCGTTGCTCCCTTCATTTTAATTGGGAAAAGAACCCTACAAAGGATGTGTCAAGATAAGATAGGCTGGGACGAACCACTTCCTGATGACCTCAAGCCACATTGGGAAGCTTGGCTGCGAGACCTCCATAACCTGTCGTTGGTAAAGATACCACGTTGTTATGTGCCATCAACATTCAAGGATGTTCAGCAATATGAGCTACACCATTTCTCAGACGCCAGTGTCTCAGGCTATGGAGTATGTTCATACCTCAGAGCTGTAAACATGTCTGGAGAAGTCTACTGCACTCTCATTATGGCTAAAGCTAGGGTTGCTCCATCAAAGGTAGTAACAATTCCCAGACTAGAGCTCTCAGCTGCAGTGGTTGCCACAAAAATTGGTAATTTGCTAAAAAGAGAACTAGAATTGGATGACATCTGTGAATACTACTGGACCGACTCCAAGGTTGTCCTTGGTTACATTAACAACGAGGCACGTCGTTTCCATGTATTTGTAGCCAATCGTGTTCAGCAAATCAGAACAAGCACTGAGACTAGTCAATGGCGATATGTGGCTTCAGAACAAAATCCAGCTGACCACGCCTCTCGTGGGCTCACCGTAAAGGAACTCATGGGATCGAACTGGTTTACTGGTCCAAGTTTCCTATGGCAAAGAGAACTCCCTAAGGAAGACATTAATGTGGGAGAGATTAATGATGGAGATCCGGAGCTCAAGAGGGCACAAGTTCTTATGACCAAGGCAAGAGAAGAGTGGTGTCTGTCAGATCGCCTGCAAAGGTTTTCAGATTGGAAGAGGGCAGTGAAAGCCATAGCAAGACTCAAACGTTGTGCAAGGAGTGCGAAAGGTTTGGTAGAAAGATCCAACAATTTCACAACACTTGAAGAAAGAAAGGATGCTGAACAGTTCATTATTCGTATCGTTCAAGAAGAAGTGTTCAGTGACGAAATCAAGCATCTAAGACAAGGCAAGGAAGTTAATTCACGTCAGTTCAACAAGCTGTACAAGTTAAGTCCGTTTATCGATGACCATGGTGTCCTACGAGTGGGAGGGCGATTGACACAGGCAGAACTTCACCCTCACGTAAAGCATCCAGCCATTCTTCCTAAAGGGCATCATATATCACGTTTACTCATAAAACACTTCCATGAAAAGGTGCAACATCAAGGTCGTGGCATGACCATCAATGAAATCCGCTCCAATGGCATTTGGATTCTGGGATGCAGTAGTGAAGTTTCATCTCTCATCTACAAGTGCATTAAGTGTAGGAAGCTGAGGAAATGCAATCAGGAGCAAAGGATGGCTGACCTGCCATTAGAAAGAATGGAAGCTACTCCTCCGTTCACCTACAGTGGCATGGACTGCTTCGGTCCGTTCTATGTTAAAGAGGGACGGAAAGAGTTGAAGAGATACGGACTACTTTTCACCTGCATGTGTTCACGAGCTGTTCATCTTGAGGTGCTGGATGATCTTAGCACTGATGCCTTTCTTAATGCACTGCGTTGTCTTATTGCTATACGTGGCAATGTTAGTCAACTGCATAGTGATCAAGGTACCAACTTTATGGGTGCAAAGGGAGAGTTTCTGAAGTTGATGAAGGGAATGAATCAAGAACGTGTGAAAGAGTTAGGCTGTACCTTTGTCATGAACCCGCCTGCTTCCAGTCATATGGGTGGTGTCTGGGAGAGACAGATTCGGACTGTAAGGAGTGTACTAACTTCCATTCTAGACAAGTCTGCAGCAAAACTAGACAGTTCTTCTTTAAGAACATTCATGTATGAAGTAATGGCGATCGTGAATAGTCGACCGTTGACCTCAGAACACATCAACGATCCTGTGGGACCAGAACCATTAACGCCGAATCATATACTAACAATGAAGTCCACCATCATTGCACCACCTCCTGGGGAGTTTGTAAGGGAGGATCTTTATCTTCAGAAGAGATGGAAAAGAGTCCAGTTTCTGGCGAATGAGTTTTGGACCAGATGGAGGAAGGAATACTTGTTGAGTTTGCAGCAGAGAAGTAAGTGGAATAAGAGCAGGAGAAACACCAAGATAAATGATATTGTTCTGCTTCAAGATGACTTGGCTCCACGAAATCAGTGGAAGCTAGCTAAAGTGGTAGAAGTCTTCCCTGGATCTGATGGAATGGTGAGAAGACTTAAACTTCTGGTTAGTGATGCAGCACTAGATAGCAAGGGTGCACGCACAAATAAGCCAGTCTACTTAGAAAGACCCATACACAAAACAGTGTTACTACTTGAAGATGATTAAAGAGTTGGCTTGGATTAGTGTTTAACTGTGTAGGTCAAACGTGTACAGATACTTATCCTCTAAATGTTTATAAGTTCATGCTGAGTTACTGAACTTCTATTAAGAATCACACATTGTGTGATGGTGGGAGTGTGTTTGCTGTCACAAAGCTTTGGATGTCCACAATGTTTATTTCCACTAGATGGCGCTTGTGTACTTCAACACTCATTTATTTCAGCAACTTTGAATCAGTTTAATCTGTACATTTTTATATTTCAACTATTTTATAATGCTTGTTGTGATTAATATACTCAACTGTTGTACATTTGAGCAATAATTCTTTTTTCTAAGAGTTTTATGGATATATTTGATTTTGTTCCCATCGTGTCTTTGTATGTCACTTCCTGTTTTTGCCGTGGAACAGCGAGTCAGAACTGCGGTCGGAGTTTACAATTCTCCTGATTATATTAAAAGATGTAATCGCAAGGTTTAAAGTGTTTATCATTATGATAAGTCATGCAATCAAGAAGCTTCAAGATGTAACCCCCTCTCTTAGCTCACAAGCAGGCAAAAGTGGTATGTATTTTCTGTTTATGTACGAGTTTAAACTCGTGTGTTTTCCATGTAACTGACTGTGATATGTTTTGGTTGTATATTCATCCTTTTAGTTCTACGGTGTTGATGTTGATGTCTGAGTCCAGAGAGCATTAAACATCAGTTAAAAGAACCTCAGCCTTCGTGTTGTGACTAAGAGCGGTACACATATTTAGACATTAATCTCAGAGATGAGACAGTTTTAAATTCTGAATTTTACCAAATGAACTGCTTCTAGACTACACAGTACAGATTCTTGATATACATTACATTGCAGTCCGAAATGAACACAAATTGGCTTTTGGAAAGTAAATTAAATTGTTTTAGTTGGCCAGTAACCTTTTGGAACTGCAATGTATACAATGGAAAACACCTTTCATATAATTCATGAAAAATAGCACAAAATACAATTTTATGTTGGTTAGAAAATTTTATGATCAGTACATTTTCTCAATTTAAATGCTAAAGTTAGAAAATTGCTAAAACATATTATCAAGATCTAAAGCAACACTGAGTTCAGTACTATTATAATGCATACTACAAGCAAATAAAGAAAAGTATACAGTGCAGAGCAACAGAAATAAATACTGTTTACCTGCTATTTGCCATAGTAATTAAGTCTAAGTAATCGTTCACATGCCTTTGTAAGCAATGCATTTACCTAGACACTTTCATCATAATTCATCCACATGGGGAACAACTTAAAAAAATGACAAACATTTATTTTTGAAAATGAAAATGCATTAAATTAAAGTTTGGGGTCAGTAAGATGTTTTTGAAATAAGTATTTTATGCTCACCAAGGCTGCATTTATTTGATCAAAAATACAATAAATAATAGAGTAATATTGTGGAATATTATTAAAATTTAAAATAACTTTTCTATTTTAATTTATTTTCAAATGCCATTTATTCCTGTGATGGCAATGCTGATTTTGGTGCTCAAGAAACATTTCTTATTATTGAAAACAGTTAATATTTTGAGAAAATCATGATCATTTTTAGGTTACTTGATATATATAAAGTTCAATAGAGCAGCATTTATTTGAAATTTTATTTTTTTGTAACAATTTAACAGTATTTACAATCATTTTTGATCAATTGAATGTCCCTAAAAGTAATTAAGAAAATAATATTAAAAAAATAATACTGTATGCTGAACACTCTTATATGCAGTATGAGTAGTATGCCATTTCAAACACATCTTAGGACTGTGATTATATCATTCCAAGAGGCTTTTCGAAAACTTCTGTGTGTATAAGTGTATGTACATAAGGTATGTTCATTGCGAATGAATCACTTGGTCTGGGTGAGATATTAAACCTGCAATTATCCACCCATAACACACACGCTTACACATTAGTAATCCACCTAAAAGTATACTTACATTTTTTTTTTAGATTAAGCAGGTTCTCCTGTCAGACAGAGTCTAGTGTGTGAGTCAAGTCAAGTGTTTCAACATGTGTTTGTTTTGCACACTGGTTGCACAATCTTGTGTAGGCTGAAAGTTTGCATCGTTCTGGGTAAAGTGCATCTACGCCGACTGTCTGATAAATATGTAATCATTTCATATAAAAATGGAGCAAAGTCAAAGCCAACAACTCCCAGCCAACCAGTCTCCTACATTGTGCTATACTCTTGTATCATTCTCACATAATAATTTAAACTTAATTCAATATTTAAATGTACATTTACTTACCGATTTATTTGTTAAGTAGCTAGCTATATAATAATATTTAACGCTATTATCTTAATATTTTGATTTTAATGTATTAATTATAAATATATGATAAATATGTTACCTTTTGAAAAACAACTAGATATATAATTATATGTATTTATATTATTTGTTATCATAATGTCGTTCTGAGTCATATGTACAGACCTCTGGGGCTTTCTGAACGAGGAGACACCCTCGAATCCACCTCATCGTCATCGTCATCATCATCAGATATTACGTCCACTTCCACATCACTGGATTCCTGCAGGCCGTCTGATTGCTCCATCGATCCCTGGCTAGCCAATGGTGTGTCAGTGTTGGGGTCAGTGTCACTCTCTTTGCGTGTTGGTGGGGCCTTGAAGTGAGGAAATGTAAAGCGAATGGGATTTGTGAGCTACTACATTGTAGGCCTTATATACTTTGAGCAAACACCACATAGTGATAACATCAAAAGTGTTATTCTGAGAGCAAAAATATATTAAAAAAAAGGCCATTATGTGCCCTTTTACAAAGTCTTGATTTTGATTTTTGGGTGCACTAACACACTGAAGAAAGTTGACAATGTAAAAAAAAAAATTAATAGATCCTCTTCAAAATGTTTTAAACTTGCTAAAAACGTGCTAAATTACACTAAGATGAACTCACCTGTGATCGTGTAGTTCCAGCTCCATCCCCTAGAGAGGCGCTATGGGTCTTCTGATCCCTGAGCTGTTTCTCCAGCTGGGCTCTGGCTCTCTCGCTTTCCCTGAGTTTGCCCTCGGCTCCCCTGAGGCGTCCGAGCTCCTCCTGCAGGAGACTGTGCTGGCGTTGCAGCAGGGCCAGCTCACCCAGCGAGCCCATGTCACTGGCACTATCCCGGGACAAAGAGCGAACTGTACGAGCCCCTGGGATGGCTGGGGAGACAGGGCTCTCTCTTAGGCAGAGCTCTAAGATGGAGTCCTGTCGGATCACCACACCCTAGGAGAGACATTTTTTTTGCCGCTTTACTGACATTAACGTTTTATTTTGGATCCTGTTTGCACATAAGTGCTTAGAAGATTTGATAAATGCATTTTGCAATGCACACATACCTGCAGAACGTGTAACTGAGCACTGAGATTCACCAGCCTTTGTGATACCTCCTGAAACACAAGACACATTTGTGATGCATCACATTAATATATAAGCCAAGAAGATTATAATATTTAATGGAGGCCAATATATTTTGCAGATGCATTTTTTCATAAAAAAATAAAAATTCATACTGATAGTGTAAGTACTATAGAAGTTTGTTTCCGATATGTATATATAATGAAAAAATATATATAAAAGGTAATTGCATCTTTTTATCTCACAATTCGGAATTGTGTGATATAAAGTAGAAATTGCGAGTTATAAAGTTTGAAGAATTGCGACATATAAAGTAGCAATTGTGATATAAAGTCAAATTTGCATGATATAAAGTCACACTTGTGTGTTATAAAGTCAGAATTGTGTGATATAAAGTTGTAATTGCATGTTATAAAGTCAGAATTGCATAATATAAAGTCAATTGTGATATAAAGTCAAATTTGCATGATATAAAGTCACACTTGTGTGTTATAAAGTCAGAATTGTGTGATATAAAGTTGTAATTGCATGTTATAAAGTCAGAATTGCATAATATAAAGTCGCAATTGTGATATAAAGTCAAAATTGCATGATATAAAGTCGCACTTGTGTGTTATAAAGTCAGAATTGTGTGATATAAAGTTGTAATTGCATGTCATAAAGTCAGAATTGCATAATATAAAGTCGCAATTGTGATATAAAGTCAAAATTGCATGATATAAAGTCGCACTTGTGTGTTATAAAGTCAGAATTGTTTGATATAAAGTTGTAATTGCATGTTATAAAGTCAGAATTGCATAATATAAAGTCACAATTGTGATATAAAGTCAAAATTGCATGATATAAAGTCACACTTGTGCGTTATAAAGTCAGAATTGTTTGATATAAAGTTGTAATTGCATGTTATAAAGTCAGAATTGCATAATATAAAGTCACAATTGTGATATAAAGTCAAAATTGCTCGATATAAAGTCGCACTTGTATGTTATAAAGTCAGAATTGTGTGATATAAAGTTGTAATTGCATGTTATAAAGTCAGAATTGCATAATATAAAGTCGCAATTGTGACATAAAGTCAAAATTGCATGATATAAAGTCACACTTGTGTGTTATAAAGTCAGAATTGTTTGATATAAAGTTGTAATTGCATGTTAGAAAAGTCAGAATTGCATAATATAAAGTCGCAATTGTGATATAAAGTCAAAATTGCACGATATAAAGTCGTTCTTGTATGTTATAAAGTCAGAATTGTGTGATATAAAGTTGTAATGGCATGTTATAAAGTCAGAATTGCATGATATAAAGTCACAATTGTGATATAAAGTCAAAATTGCATGATATAAAGTCGTACTTGTATGTTATAAAGTCAGAATGGTGTGATATAAAGTTGTAATTGCATGTTATAAAGTCAGAATTGCATGATATAAAGTCACAATTACGTGTTATAAAGTCAGATTTGTGTGATATAAACTTGTAATTGCGAGAAATAAACTTGCAATTCTGACTTTTGCATGTTTATATCTCGCAATTCCAACTTTATAACATGCAATTGCGATTTTATATTACGCAATTGACTTTATATTGCGATTATAAACTCGCAATTGTTAAATAAAAAGTCGCAATTCTCTTGTAAAATGTTTAATTCTGTGGCGGAAACGAGCTTCCATAAAATACAGCCAATAATTTAATCTGTTACGGACTATTTGTTTGTTTTTTATGTGCATTTTCATTTTGTATTGTAACATAAGACATAATCAGTCTCATGCATCACTAAGTGTTTTTCAAGATTTCAAGATCCAAGGTCCCTGTTATATTGATTTGGAATCATTATAATCATGAATATATGCTATAAATAACAATATGACTTATTTTTTTACTGTTGGTCTTTGTACTTATTATTGGCATTATGTGCAACTAATGCTGCATTTTCAAGATGCTGTATCAGAGTAGTTTAGCTTTTAAAAGCATGGTTGAGACTTCTGAATTCTATGCATTCAGTGATATTAAGAAAGGTTATTATGACTTCATTATTGACTGGAGGTCTTCAGTGTCACATGATCCTTCAGAAATCATTCTAATATGCTGATGTTCTGCTCAAGAAACATTATTCTTATTATCAATGTTGAAAACAGTTTTAATGCTTAAATGCTTAACCATGATGATACTCAATTTTTTCAGGACTCTTTGATAAAAAAAAAATCCAAATTTGTAAAAGTGTAAATGTCTTTTGATAAATTTAATGCATCTTTGCAGAATAAAAGTAGTAGTCAATTTGCTTGTCACTCTAGTTTAAAGAGTTCTAATGAAAAAAGTAAAACAATCGCTTGTATTTTTCATCCCAGAAATGTAATCCGAATTTCCGTAGATTAAGCTCATATTAAGCTCGGTCTGGAACTAAATGTTAGTACCTCGCTTGGTGACTTGTCCTCCATTTGATTCCCATTACCATCCTGTACAGAAACATTTTTTTGGGATTATCCACACAATCATAATTCTGAACCAGTAGTTTCATTCAAAAGCTTTAATTTGTCAGCACACAGTGTCGATGAAAAGGGAGATAAAGTGTAGCTTTCAAGCACCAGTGGTGAGTCGTGATGGAGAGTTTTTGGTAGATTTAGGTTGCTATGGAAACCTGCGAGTTTCACATGACTAATTTTTTTCAGCATTACATAAAACTCAGTAATAGCATCGAACCATCTTATTATGTGCATAATTATTACATTTCATGAAACATATTTGATGCAGGCAGATGTGAATGTCAAAGACGGTGATAACAAACAGCTCACTAATATAGATCATTCATTATTTTTTAATAAAATAATGTTTTGTATACCTGAGCAGTTTGGTTCTCCTGAGAGCCATTGACTAATACCTCTTGTCCATCTGGAAGTACGGAGGAAGCACAATGGTCAGAAATGCGTAGTAGGTATATTTATTAGGGGTGTAACGGTTCAAATTACGGTTTGGTTTGTATCACGGGTTTAGGATCACAGTTTCGGTACAGTTCGGTATGTTCATCAAATGTTTAAAACACTACAATCAAATAAAAATAAAGAAAATAAGGACAATAAAATAAACAGAGCTTTTTAGTTTTTTTCAGGTAGGTCTAACTACTTTTACTAAGTAATCAAATGTAAAATAACACTGCATGTAATCTTCACTGTATAAATTAAATAAAGACGAATCCTTATTAAAGTTATTCAGTCAAGAAAAGTGAGTGATTTTGTGAGTCTTGTAGTTTGATTAACAATAAAAACACATAGCAGGAATATTAGGCTGCTGTCAATTTAAGACGAAACCAACGTGGTTGAACGATACTTTGTGACAGTGGGTTTCGGGAAACAGTTGTGACTAGCTAGTTGATTTCTCCATTGATGCATCGTACTATTAGCCTGGATGCCAGCCCGAACTCCGCCCACAACATTTTTTGGTCGGGAAGTTCGGTCTGGACTCGATCCATTGAGGAGTAATTATGATCAGTCAAAAAATGATCGGGCCAATCAAATTGCCAGGGCGGGCTTTATACGATGATGGACAGATGATCTGCAGGGACGTAATCATCACGTTATCAAAGAGCGCTTAACTGGTTTCCCTCAGAGATGACTGCAGGTGGAGAATTGAGATGTATAGATTCCTCTGTCGCGTCTTTTGTAAAATAAATCGACAGCGCATTAATTTTAATAGACAAACAGAGAACTGCAATCAAGGCTTTTGTCGATCGGAAAGATATTTTTGGCGTCCTTCCTACATGATTCGGGAAAAATAACTTATCAGTTGGCTCTGACGGTCGTTAAGATGATGGGACGTAATGAAAAGCCTGTGGTCGTTGTGGTTTCTCTTTTGGTGGCACTCATGGAGAAGTAAGTAAAAGAAGCAACACTCGTTATTTAACTTCTAAAATAAATAAATAAATAAATAAATAAATAAATAAAGTTAGGCTAGGTTTTGTATTTGAAAACTGCGCTATGCAAAGCAGTTGACTTACTGCGTTGCTCTGATTGGTTGTAGGTCTACCGACTATCCAATTGAGTGCAGAGGTTTTTTTTTTCCTGGTTCGGTTACGACACGCCTCATAACCAAAGCCCAACGGAGGAGTTTCAGACTCATATTCTCTCTAGAATATGAGTATGACGAAGTCAGGCTATCGTACTATGGTAGTAATGTGAACTACGTCGTTGTACGGGAAACGCACCACTGATTAGGGCTGTCACTTTTGTGAAAAAATCCTGTTCGATTTTTGAGACATTAGTGTTCATTGAATCAATTGTAAAATCGATTTTCCATGTCTAAAGACTTTTCCATTTTCAACGCCAAATATAGTCAAATCCACGCTTGAGGGTGTTGATGGTGGGCCATATAAGAGCATAAGGCACTCCCATCGAACAAAGTTTTCAAAGAGTGACCGTTTTGTCCACTTTTTTTTTGTTGTATTGGGAAGCCGTAATGTTCCCATACAAGAGATTTATATGATGCAGGCAGCAGCTCTATCAACTGCTTGTGTTCTTCGCTTGCCATGCTGAACTGCAACACACCAACACGTGAGGAACTAAGATAGAGCAATATATTTACATACTAACAGTTGATTGGACAGCTACTCTCACCACGTGAAATTCATGTGGAGTCTATCCATTGAAAGAAATAAACATTAGCGGTCTGTTTTTTACGTGTTTGTTTGTCTTCAACAAACCATATTATAGATGCCTCGTCCGATTTGAGATTAACCGCGTGCCGAACCGTGGGTGGAGAACGGAATGGTTACATTTTTTACGCGAACCGTTACACCCCTAATATTTAGATAATCAGGAAAATTAAAGGCACATTTATTTATATATTGCATGTTTTGTTTTTGACACCTACTGATTACTAGCGCCCCACTGTGGTTGTGATGGCCGTTGGAACCGCAGGGCAGAGGAACCTCAAAACTGGATCCTAATATCAGCTCTGTCAATCTGTCCACTGTAGAGAGAGAAAAAGGTACATCATGACATTTTACAAGATATTATGAAAGATCTGAGAATGAGGTCAGATGATTTAGCTAAAAATGGCTGGTGACCTTTTCAAAATAGGGAAAAATAGAATAATCAAAACGAGATGTGCAGAGGCATACTGGCAGCAAGTATGAATCTTATTATATTTTTCTTTAATTTATGTTGTTGTTAATGTTGTTAATACAACTAATATATTGTGTGTGTGTGTGTGTGTGTGTGTGATTGGACTCATGATCTGTCATTTATTTATTCAGAGGCTGGGTCAAATTTGGGTCAAATTTTTAATTGCTCAGATGCTGAAACTGATTTAAAATTAGTGTTAAAATTTGTATCTTTATGAAATAAAAAAAAATATGTATATAATAAAACAACAAAAAATACTACCAAGAATATTTGACTAAATATGACTAAATGAAATCAGAATTGGTAAGCACATTTATATGGTTGTTAATTTTTTGGTGTGCCAACATTTCAAGTCTGATTCCAAAACTCTACCTTTGTTTCTGTTGCCATTCACTGCTTACTCATAGTGTGAATATTGCAACCTATTAATATGGGCGTTGAAATAAATGTGCACTAAAGGGTAAAAACAAGCCTTATGCAGGTGGAACACCCTGCTTCAGCCACAGATGTTACATCCTGTCTGTCTTACCCTCAGTAATGGCCTGCGTGAGCAGCTGTTCTCCACGCAGTGCCTGAGAAGACTCGGCTCTAAACAGGTTTCTGGAACAGGACGGCTGCATGACCTCGTAACCTCCCATGACCTCCGCCAAGTCAGAGAACAGGGTGACCCGCTCCTGAAGCAGCTCTAACACCTCCCTGTCCTTCTGTTGGATATCAGCTGAAACAGAGAGTAAAATATCATCAGCTTCTTAATGCTGCCAAAATGGTGGCTTGTTCCACCTTCAAATTCTGTGCAAAGATGTCATGACAACTTGACATGACAACAACTGTAGTGATTCATAAGAAAATAATAATTAAAAAGTGTTTTCCCCAGTGCTGGGAGTGTCAATATGTGTATGTAGTGTTTAAAGCAAACCTTTTAGTCTCCGCAGAAGGGCCTTGTCTTCTGTTTCTATAAGAGGGAATTCTTCTCTTGATGGACAGCTGTGTGATAAAAAAGAAAAATGATGGTAAAGAAGAATGACCATTAGAAATGGCAGTTTTAAAAGGTTAGTTTATGTCCATTGGCATTGAAGTCATCTTTATGTTAGTTCCCCCAGTTTTATCAAGTATAAAGGTCTAAAATGTAGAGTCTTTGATTTTTCTCTTCTGGCAAAATAAACCAAATATATATATATTTTGTCTAATAAAATGCTATTTAAAATAAAAATATTGTGCTAATGCTGGTATTTTGCTAGATTTTTTCTCAAGGAAGTGGTGAGAATTTATTAATTTATTCAATTACTTTAACTCTGCAATTTTTCGTTTGATTCCTCGTCTTTGTGTGCATTGCTACAGTCACTATATGACAAACAACGCATATTTATTATTAAAGGAACACTCCACCATTTTTTCATATTAAATGAAGTTCCTAAATGTAAGTTAAGGAGGAGCGAGCCCATCAAATCTTTCAATCAACTCTCTCTAGTATCAGCTGTTCCAGTATCCCTCCACCTTCATCTTAGGTTTCATCATTTAGCAGACACTTTGATCCAAAGCGACTTACAACTAAGGACTAAACCAGGTAGGTACCTTGCCCTTTAATTAACAGGTCCTAAATATAGCCACTGAGGGGGTGGTATATCAGAGCTCGAGCAGAAGCTGCATCATTTAGCCCCTCTCCAGTGGACAGCAAGACAAATACGTTTAACCTAATATCCTAAAGATTTTATGGGCAAACAAACTCGTTAAACTATGTTATTCCCTTAACTAAGACGAGTTGAAACATACCTCTCTAGTCTAGACAATTAGATAGCACTTAGCTTAGCCCAGTTCATTCATTAGGATCCAAACAGAGATGAAGTTAGAAGTGACCAAACACCTCACGTTTTCCCTATTTAAATACAGTTACATGAGTAGTTACGTGACGACCAAGTATGGTGACACAAAATAAAACGTAAAATGGATAACTATAATGTATGGTGGAATAGCACTTGGGAGCATTACGACTCGTCAGTAATATCATTATATCATCAATAAGAGGGAAGGGGGAGAGCTTTTTCAAGAGTAATGATATTACTGCACCGAGTCGAAGTGCTCCCAAGTGCCATTTCCGCCATACATTATAGTTATCCATTTTACATTTTATTTCGCTTCTAACTTCTCTGTTTGGATCCTAATGAATGAACTGGGCTAAGATAAGTGCTATCAAAGTGTCGAGTGCACCCAATGAGACAATAAGGCAATTAAGGCAATAACATAGTTTATTATGAAAAAACGGTGGAGTGTTCCTTTAAGAGCAAAAAGAAATACAAAAATATTTGATAATAATTATTAGAATTATGTATAATAATGATAATATAAAGAAGTAATAAAACATAAAGAAATAAAAAAATGTCCATGGATAAATAAATAAATGGATCTTCTATATATATTTAATTGTAGGAAGGAGTTCCCTCATAAGTGGATTGTGGTATTTGTGGGTTCCTGGCACCAACTGAATTAAATGAAATGAAACCACGATCTATAAAGCAAGCTATGCAGGGCTATAATGTAATCAAAAGCTATTGGCAACTCAAGCTTCCCACAGAACTGACATATGCCTTTTAAATGACCCACTCCTGAATTTTAATGAAAGTGCGTTCATGTGATTTTCTAATTCCACGGTAAAGAGAGGGGTCCTAAAAAATGTCAAATGGTAACTGTGAGTGCTGTGTGGACTGTTAAGAGTGTGTTCATGTATGTACCTGCTGATGGTTTGCTGTATGTGCCGTAACCAAATGTTTCTGTCTTCTTTCGAGGCAGCATAGAGCTCATACATCTCAGGTGGGCTAGACTCACTGCTTATCAGGAACAACCCTCGCTCTTGATTGGCTATGTCTCGGACCAAGAGATTCTGCAGTGACACCACAGCAGACTTATCCTACAGAGAGGATGAGAAGAGAAGAGATATTGTCGTCAGGTACAGATTTTCGAAAATAAACAGCTTATAGCATCAAGTTTCACAATTTGAGGTACAATGTCTACGACATAATGTCTCCCGCAAATGTTTACTAATATTATATTTCACATATTTGTTATATGTTAATATGTTATATGTTAAATATTGTTAGCTTAATGCCTGCCCACAGACATTCGCAAAGAAAGATGATGATGTTTAAATGTAAAACCAAAAAACCCCTTCGTTAGGGCTTCTGAAAAAGGACGGAATTAGAAATCACTGGAGATTTATTCATAACGCTGTTCCTGAGCAGTACAATCCAAAAGTTAGCTTGTGTACAGCACATTTTACAAAGGAGAACGAGGGAGAGTACAACATTTCTGACAAGTGTTTGGCCAATCACAATGTACCAGGTCAGCTGGCCAATCAGAGCTCTCTGGGCTTTTCAGAAGGAGCGGCTTTGTTGAAAGCAGTGTTCTAGACAGACTGGGGATAGAGGTGCTGTTATAATGCACATTATATGGAAAAATAAAGTGTTTTTTGAACATTAAAATATGCTAACCTAATCTAATAATTACACCCAATAAACAAAGGAATGATCTTTTAAAATAGCATCATATGACCCCTTTAAAACTTTGAACAGAGCGAGAACCCTAAGTATGAATAGGGTTGGGTATCGTTTGAGTTTGAACGATTCTGATTCCGATTCCGATTCCTTGTTTCGATTCCGGTTCCTAACGATTCTCGATTCCGATTCTTTTAAGAGGCAGGGTCAAAAAAGTTTAGCTAACCTTGCTAACCAACGGTCTTTCTGAAGGAAATACTCCTTCTGTCACAAATACTCCTTTTGTCACAAATTTTGCAGAGATTTCGTTATTTTTAGAAAAGTGAAGCCACACTTTGGACCGCCGACGTAAGCTACTCATGTTCGACTCGCGTGGTTATGCCAACACTTCCGGTAGACGCTTCTGCGTTGGTGTTGTTCAGCGGTTTCTTCTTCCGCTCGACGGACTGTGAATATCGAAACTAGGAATCGAAATTTTAACTTTTGAACGATTCCGGGAAAAACAAAAAGTTAGTCCCGGTTCCAATCGATACTCGATTCTCGATACCCAACCCTAAGTATGACCACTACTAATATGGATACGTGACTTAGCAAGCAAAGTAACTTACCAAACTGGCAAAGATGTACCGTTGATCTTTCTCTTGCAAGAAAACTAGAATGTCAGTCATCAACAAAACCTGAACATCTACAACAGAAAGAAAAAGGGAAATGCTGTACATTAATTCACCCACAAGCAATCTCCATCTCACTCTGACACATCACATTACACTTCCTCATAACCAGCCGCAGTCTTCTGTACCTTTGAGCCGAGAGCCGGGCGTTTTCCAGAGCAGCGTGCCTTCGTGTATCAGCTGCCTCCGGAGCAGTTCGGCTGGTCTGAACAAGGCTCCAGAGCGGAGTTTGGCCTCGGACCGCGGGTCGACCCGGGAGCGGATCTCTTGCAGCCGATGTGTCCTTTCTAGCTCCAACACCTGCTGGTCCACCGAACTGAGCAGCTCCCGCATACAAGACAACGCATGTGACAGACCTGAAGCTTCCTCTGGATTGTCTGCACACAATTGTTACACACAATAATCAGTCCAGACCATTATGTGGCCATTAAATATTTAAAAAATACCCCCCCCCCCCTTTTGTCATTTATAGACATGGAGGGGAAGTGTGGAGGTGAGATGCCCGAGTCTCACCTTTGGTGTTGTCATATATACGTTGCACTAGGACGGGGTATTTAGTGATGCGCTGGGTGACCAACAGGATGCACTCCTGGAATCCGTGGCGACGCAGTAGAGGACCCCGATTCGCCCTCTGAGAGGACACAGAAGGACAAAGACAATCATAAATGGACAGTAAACCATTTCTGCCTCTGTGCACTGTATTTACATACACACACTCTAAATCTGCATCCAAAACCCACAGCAGCTACCATGCTTTAAAACAGGCACCATAATGTCATGTCTAATGAGCTAGAATCAATTTAATTGAGCTTAAATGTTATCCAAGCATGGATGACTGCAAAATACTTATTTCTCAGTAGAAATTTTATTACTGACCATGGCTCGACAACAAGGACTGTGAAGGGGTGGTCAAAATCCCTTGCCTCTTCAGCATATATATCATAATATCCTTTTGATTGATTATGTATTTCTTTTATAAAATCAATAATTAAGTATATTCATTGTTAATCATTTATTGCTTTATCACCAGCTTCTTTTAGGTGCACAAGGCCATTTGTCTCTTTCTCTGGTCTCAGGAGAAAGGTTTGTGGATCCTAAAGGCGTCGTGAACACATATGTCCAACACTTATGATACTTCTCTGTACAGATGGTCAAGCTATATTGAGCATTGCTTTATTGAACTTTAATTGTTATATTAAACTGTATTCTTTCTATTATATTTGCTTTCTGAGGAGCACATGTTATCTGTTTTTCTCCCAAACGAGTGAATGTTTTACCATTATGTTTTGGTACACTTAACTGATAATAAGCCGCTCAGACTCGATGGGAGCTCCTATTTGCTAGTGTCCTATGTGAATGCGGTAACAGTGAAAATAATAGGGAAATAGGGATTTTGGTTTATGTTTGAGTGTTAAAACATAAAGGGTTCATTGAAGCCAATAGTTTAAGGCACCATGTTGAAGTCTTACTCCAGTTAGACTAAAGTTTAGTGCTAGTCTTCTTAGTTGCAGGTTAAGGAACCACTGCCATTATTGGAGATTGAATGAGTTGTTGTTCTGGACACACTGGCTCCAGCAACCCAAATCATTCAACGTGTAAGCAATGACGTAGCTTAGACCTTGGAAATGGTATAACTGCTGTGATTGTTGTAACTGTAAGGGGGCGGCCTACGAACTCCTGAGTGAGTCTTGAAGCTGACTTCTGCTGATGAAATTGCAAACTATGCTCAGTAAAATTTTCTTTAATTTTTTATAATTCTGACTCCGGGTCTTCATTCTTCATATCTGGTTCTGGGTCCTCTGACTGTTAACCCCTAACAACTGCCTGATGGCCTTGGGCCAGCGTGAAAGACACTCGGGCTAGTTGATAGAACTGTCACTTGCCAGATCGGGCCAGTGCTGCATCTTCACACAAGTTGATAATGTGTGTGTCTTTTTAAGCCTGGCCAACTTAAATATTCAGTGCAAATAGACGCGAAAGTACCCGTGTCTCTCAGTGGTACTTTGCGTGCTGTGTGATAAGTTTTGTGTATGCAGTAACACATCAAGAGTGTGCTCATCACAGCACATGAATACTCTTGTTGATTCCTCATACACATAGTCGGTTATGTCTTAAGTAGATGTAAACACGAGAGGAAAAATGGATGTGTAACAGTTAGGGCTGTCAGTTTAACACGTTATCAACGGCGTTAACGCAAACCCATTTTAACGACGTTCATTTTTTAATCGCGCGATTAACGGTCTTTTTGTCCTAGCAAACTTTGTAAGGTGCGTTCCATTCGACCGTAAGTGGACTGCGAAGTGGACTTCACAGGGTATTTCGCCATCTTAAGTGAGATTCCAGTTCGAAGGGAATGAACATGTTCAGTTCGAAGGGCACTGCAAACGGCATAGCGAATAAGGGAACATCGATACATCACTTCACAGGAAGTCAGTGAAGTCCACTTCAACTGATATACCGTGTTCAGGGAGTAGGGAGCAGTGAACACTGCGTAGGGACCCTGGCGAATGGAACGCACCTGTAGTTTTTTCACATGCTTTTGCAACAGGACGCGGCATGTGTACTGATCCATTTCGACGTCTCGCGCTCATCATCCACTCAAAGCCGGCTCGCAAGCCCAAACGTGTGTTTGCGGCATGCCTGTTGTTTTGTTTCCGGTCTAGCTAGATCCGCTTGCGCTTCGGTCGAAGAAGCATTTCAAAACGTCCATTGAAATGAATGGGTTCAGAGCGCAGCGCGAGGACGTTTTGTGCCGCACACACTCGTTTCGGCTTGCGAGCCGGCCAACTAGTAACGTTACGTTTTGAGTGGATGACGAGAGCGAGACGCCGAAATTGATGCCCTTAAAAGATTCTGAATGGAAAGTTTACTTTTAAAAAGTTGCCAAATTGTCCCATTGACAAGACCAAGTGATCTGTGTGTTTTGTCATTGTGAACTGAGCGATCATCATCGCAGCATGTCCAGTCTGAAACACCACTTGATGATGGCCAAGCAAACACACACACACACACACACACAGAGATGATGCGAATTCTCCACCCCCTCGTCAATATCAGGACCTCATGAGTATTTCTTTCACCCTTTTATTGCTAGACAGTGTTACATTGTGTGAGAGATTATTTATATATGTTAGTGTGAAATTGAACACTATTCCACTGTTATTTTCAATAATAATAATAAAAAAAACATTTGCACTAAACAAGCCGATCCACTTTTCCATGTTGACAAGAGCATTAAAATGAGAAAAAAATAATGTAACAAAAAGAAATCAAAAGACATTTAGAATAGATATAAATGTGCGTTTAATCGCGAGTTAGCTATGACATTAATGCGATTAATCGCGATTAAATATTTTAATCGTTTGACAGCACTAGTAACAGTGTATTAGATATGTGTAACTCTTCAAGTGACAGCAGCCTAATATTCCTGCTGCTTTCTGTGTTTATGTTAATCAAACAAACGACAGAAAAAAAATCGCTCACTGTTCTTGACTGATTAACTGCAACAAGGGTTAATCTATATTAATACAGTGAAGACTTTGCAGCGAAATTTTACATTTGCTTAATATTTCTGAACCTGAAAATCTAGTTTAGACTACTTGAAAAACCTGAAAAAAACTGTTTATTTTATTTGTATATGTTTGTTCTGTCGTATTTATTTGTGCTATTGCTTGTAATTTGATTATTTGTTCTTTTTTATTATTGACTGTCTGTCACAGTATAAACGCTCGAAGATGAGGATGCAGATGAAGATGCCAAAAGTCTGTCATTCAATACACAGGTAATTCAAACATAGGGTAGCTACAGCGTAACACAGACGAGACAGGGCAGATTGAACTGAAAACACAGGAACACAGGCAAACGAGGTGATCAATAACAACAGAGTTGAACGTGATGGCAAATCATGTTAAGATTCCATGACAACCAAGAAGAAGCGGGAAAACTGAACAAAGGAAAACAGGAACTAATGAATGCAAACTAAAGGTCCATGAAAACTAATTCAAACACATAAGTTAAACTAGTAGTTTTTGGTATCATAACCTTATTTATTAAGGCTACATAGATCAAAACAACTAGAACAATAGCTAGGCCTATTTTATTTTATTTTATTTATTTATTCGTTTTTTTAGTAGTAGGGCCTGTGAAAATTTTGTCAGGGCAAGTAGAAAAAAGTGGTAGAGTTGAACCCTGCTGACTGTAATAAAATTACGTACAAAACATGAAAAATATCACAAAGTGAAAGTTTCAATGCCTAAATTCACTTGTAGCATTAAAACAAATTGAATTTATAGTGACTATTATATGTTTATTTAGACAATATAATATAGCGTACATTTTAATTTCAGCTAGTTTCTTTTGTTTTAAAATATAAAATATATGCGATAAACAAAATTAAACACATAAATATTATTTTTAGTAATAATACTATTATGAAAAATACAAATATGTTAAAAATACTAATTATACATACATTTAAAGCCAATAATTATCCATACATACATTTAAAATCAGCCATTTGTTGGTCTCATACAGAATTTTACTAACAATTTTATTTCACAATATATAACATAGCATAATTTAATTCAGTCAGTATTTTTTGTTTTGAAATCTTGCTATTACCTCCTCATATCTCATGAGAAATGTGCTACCTTTCACACCACTGTTGTGAGAATATTTAACTTTTTAAAGCATATTAGTATTACTGTGATATCGATAACTGTGAAATTTCACCTGTTTTGTCACCGTGACCTTCCTAAACTAAGCCATTACGAAGTAAAATAAAACACAAAAGCTGAATACAATTATGATACCTGGAAATCTGATGATTCACACATCTCTGAGAGTCTGCAGGCATTAATGCACCCGCCCACCATCATTCATCACTCAATACCACTCTATCCTCCCACTTGAAACACACGAGACAACACCTGACCCGGTTATGCAAACACATAACGCACATGGTCATTCTTGTTCTTACCCGTATAAAGAGCTGAAGTCTCTTGTCTCTGGCCAAAAGTTCTTTGTATAGTTTCACAGCCTTTATATGACGACTGCAGAACTCAGAATACGTCTTCAGCATCTCGTCCGCACACTGACCTGAGAACTGACATACACACACAAACAGTGCACTATGAACATTTTGTTCCCTGAAACTTGAAAGCTTTCAGCATCCCACTCTCATACACTCTCATTTCCATTTGTCACGATTTCTTTCTTTTTGACTTTCCACGCCCTCTACAACGTGACGTCACATCTCTTTCAAGTTCATTCAATGAATTTATATTTGGATATTAAATTTTTTTTATAAAGTATAATAATTTTTAAGTTAAATTAGTTTTAAAAACATTTTTAAAATGTTTCCCCAGATTCCATTTTGTTGCACGGTTACATAATTGTGCTCATTATTTTTCCAGTAATGCATTAAATTGACAGCTCTACTTTATGAAACATTTTAAACTGGCAATCAAAACAGACATGCTAATCCAAAATCACTTACGACTGGCCAAATGTATCCAAATGCATTCACACCCCGTTCCACCCACGTAAACTCACTCCTACCTGTTTTATTAGCACATCGCTGATCTGATTGATGGTGAAATTGTTTGTGCTTTCAGGTTGCAGGCTGTGAGCGCGTCGTTCGAGGAGCTGCGTGAGGAAGTGTGTGTGTATCGTCAACAGGCGCTCCAGGCAGGGGAACAGCGCATGCACGACCCCCGGCTCCAGCTGCACCTCCTCCAGCATACCCCGCCTGAACACACCCTCCATGATCCGCAGGGTCCGGACGTGATGGAGCTCCGTCTGGATCAGCTCTGAAATGATATCACAGAGGTTGAGCTGTAAAATGCAACATTTAAAAGGTCTTTGTTGGACATGTACCCTAAATTAAATATTCCCACTGTCCTAAAATTGAGGGTAGATGAGTTTGATGTGAATGAAAACAATGTAGTGATGCATAGAAGTACAGAACAGTCCATCTTGTGTACACTGGTGTTGCTAATTTTTACATTTAGATTATTTTTCCAGTCATATAACAAACATTTAAAGTTAATCTTTAAAAACAATAAAATTAATAACATGGTTAAATGTAATCTTCTACAAATCTCAAAGTGAATGTCCATTTTTCACACTGTACATTGTTATGTTGTAGTGCCTAAATTCACTTGTAATATTAATACTTGCTGTTATTAGTTATTATACAGAATTTAACTGTAAAAAAACAAAACTTGAGGCCACGAAGACTAGATGTACAGTCTGTTTGTTTGGAAAAGCACATAATAATATTTGTTGAGTCGATGGCCCATTTACAGTCATAAACATACTTTGATTCTAGACTTTGATCTGCGTTTTTTTTCTCTAACCATAGATGACGTCCTGTCTCTTGATAACATCTTTACGGTGGGTCTGCAAGTAGGTGGAATCTACCGCCATGCTCCAGGAATCTGCTTCAAATTCCTGGCCTTCAAACTCCAAATCTTCCAGCAGAGAGTTGAAGAAGCCCTCTCCTAAAAAACAAGAAAAATACAATTTCTGTATTATTGCTTCGGTTTGCAGGTAAACAGGTTGGCCAACATGGATCTATAGCCAATCACACCAATCAAAACCAATGCTCTCATTTTCTTAAAAATATACAAATGAAAGAACAACATTTATTTGATATAGAAATATTTTGTAAAATTCTAAATGTTTTTACAGCTAATTTAAAGGAGTAGTTCACTTTTAAAAACAACTTTTGCTGATAATTTACTCACCCCCATGTCATTCAAGATGTCCACGTCTTTCTTTCTTCAGTTGAAAAGAAATCAAGGTTTTTGATGAAAACATTCCAGGATTTTCTGCATATAATGGACTTCAATGGGAACCAAATGGTTCAAGGTCCAAATGAGAGTTTCCAAGGGCTTTAAACGACACCAGCACGAACGCTCATCACAGAACAGAGCAAGGCCAGCATTTGTGCTTATAAAACTTAAACTTTTTAATTTATTTTTTAAATGACCGATTGTTTCACTAGATAAGACCCTTATTCATCGTCTGGTGTCGTTTAAAGCCCTTTGAAGCTGCACTGAAACTCTCAGTTGGACATTGAACCGTTTGGTTCCCATTGAAGTCCATTATATGGAGAAAAATCCTGTAATGTTTTCTTCAAAAACCTTAATTTCTTTTCGACTGAAGCAAGAAAGACATGGACATCTTGGATGACATGGGGGTGAGTAAATTATCAGCAACAGTTTTTTAAAAGTGAACTACTCCTTTAATGAATCCTTGCTGAATAAAAGTATTAATTTATTCCAAAAAAAACAAATACTAACTGTAAAAATCGATGTAATATGGCCGCATTTACACTGCAGGTCTACAAGTTCTGATTTGTTGACTATATTCATTTTTTTATGACTACTTAAATCTTTTAAAAGTGACCCATATCCGATATCTGCATTTACACAGTTCACTTGGCGAAACAACCCAATGCATACTGACCCAGAAAAGCTTAGACCGAAAAGGAATTTGCAATGAATGCAGACTAAATAGTAGAAGCTTTTGCTTTCCACATATCTCAACACTGGGTTGAGCTTTCGACCATCACTGCGCAATTAAAAAAAGAGTCACGTGATCCAAGGCATCCGCCATCGTCGCTTTTTCAATGACATACGACATACATTGACAGGGGAATATCTGATCTATCTGCATACATGATGCCTGAAATCTGAGAATATCAGAATCTATGTGTTGTTTTTTTCATGCTTACATGCTCATGGCAGGTCATATTCGATCTGTGTTACATTGAAGGAAAAAAAATCTGAATTTGGTCACTTGAACCATGTAATGTAAACGCGGCCTATTTTAACACGTGTCTACTTAGTTGAAGTGTTTGTCGGTGTGTTTGTGTCTCACCCTCATCATTGAGGGACTCCATGGACATGGTTCTGCTCCTGAAGTTGAGTGAGTCTGTGGATTGAGACAAGATCCTGCGCAGCCCCAGAGGATAGTCATCATTCAGAGTCCTACACGCACATGCACAGGTGGGCCAAATGCATGCACACAAACAGATGTACACATATGCATGCAATCACATGCAAAAGGAAAAAAAAAAAAAAGACAAAACAAAAACCAAATTAAGAGGCAGGCATCATAATCACCACAGAAACAGAAAATACACATTTAAAATTAAAATATATAAAAAAATATAAAATAAAGTGAATATAATAACTAATAAATAACATTCAAACAAAACTGCTTACATTAAACTAACATGGCCACAAACACACAAAACACAAAAAGACAAAAAATACACACGATGAGAACACGACTGTGTTATAGACATTTCAACATGTTTTACAGTATTTATAAGGACTCACTTACAGTATTTGGTTATGTGTTTATATTGTACAGGCAAGAGTCCATTTTAAGCATCTCTGTCATTTCTGTCACTCACCCTGCAATGTTATTGGTGGAGACGCTCTTGGAAAGTAAGAGAGAGGACCGGCCGCGACGTGATCCGAGTAGTGACTGACGGAGACTGTCTGAGGGGTAAATGGCAGAGCTGGGCCTTTCCCTTAATTGGGCTTCAGAGAGTCAGAAAAAGAGAGCGCAAAGTCAAATTTAGACATAAAGGGTAAACCCCATTTACTTCTGGTAAACAGCTAAACAAAAGAACATTTTGCTAATGTTCCCATATTGGAAACATTACTTCTGAAGGTTCCCTGAACATTCAAAACATCCAGAGTAATTACAGACTGGTATGATTTTGGGCAATCATTATCACATAATCCCCTCAATGATATCCGTTCACAACTGGTCACAGGAGACGTATATGCCACTTGTAATTGTACCAGATGTAAAAACACACTTGTTTCCATCACATCCTCACCTCTATTCCTCAGAGTCACATTCTGATAGGCCGAATTGTTCCTGATCAGCGCCATTTTCTGTTGCTATTGTGACACATAGATTACATTTTTAGACATAAACCACATCAAGAAAACAGAGCCGATTTATAAACATTTCTTCTGCATCCTACCATGAATCAAAGCCAGTGTTTGAATGTCAGTGGTCCATGTGACACCATGTGACACATGTGTGCACTAATATCCCACCTTTTGTTTCATTTTGACACAGTTTGGTAGCGTGTCCCTGCAGCGGTTGTGGATGGTGACATTACAAGCTGAAAAAAAAGAAGAACAGGCATGAAAACCCTTTTATGTCACATACTATAATCTTCATACAATTAACATTTAAATGTGATGAGTGTGATCTCATGGTCACATTTATAAAAGTAATAGAATTGTATTCACTTTTTCTGTTATGGGTTTGCAAAAACACTTATCATTAGCTGCTTGACCTACCACTATGTTCCAGAAACATTCTTGACTAGGTAAAGACTGCTATGATCAAGTTACTAGTACCTGGTTTGTTGTTGGTCTAAGATGATTCTTTAGCTTAAAGCAACTTGAAACCAACCACTGAGTTCTCAAAAACAGCAACCAGTGTACGATGATACTCCAGCGAGGAAGTTGAAAACATACCGGTATTCCCTTTTATACCTATTACAGCAAATAATTATGTAAATCTCAGTACCATACCCATTTTTCGCCTCTCTGTCTCTCCCTCTTGACCTCTGTCCATGTCTGCGGTAAAATGCTTGTTCTAGATCTCCTTAACAGCATGCTACTAGTCGCAGAACATTTTCTCTGGTAACACTGTATTGCTTTTTGTCTCTGAACCCCTATTGTTTAAGAACGGCTTTGCTTCCTGTTTTGAGGGTGGCTGGGAAGGAAGAGGGACGGGGGCTCCGGTGGGGTTTCCCTGGTCCGATTACCCACAACACACACCTACACGAGTCTAAATAATCACCCACGGAGAAGCACAGGCTTTTTTGTAAGTATCAGTGCATCTCAGAAATGTAACTGTAGAGGAAAATATAGTAATGTTTTAGTCCATTTTGATAAATTACTAAATGCAAATCTGAACACAGACCGTGTTAAGATCACTATGTCAAATCTAAGAAGGAGAAGGTCACAATTTAAAAGAAAAAAATGTCTCATGGTTTTCACACACACAAAAAAAGAAGCACCACTGTTTTCAATATTGATAATAATAAAATATGTTTCTTGAGCACAAAATGATTTCTGAAGGATCATGTGACACTGAAGACTGGAGTAATGGTTGATGAAAATTCAACGTTGTCATTACAGGAATACATTTCATTTTATTTATGTATGTGTCTTGATGTGTCTCGGTGTTTTGTGTTTAAAAAAAGCTATATCACAATATAAATATTTAATAAAACACATCGATAATTCCCCATTGTGATCCATTTTTTTGCACTCTTTCCAGCTGTTTTTGAATGCAATATCTTATGTATTGTACTAGAGCTGTGGAATATAATCGGTCAGATAAACACATGATTTCTTCAAAATATCCGTCTTGGCAAGTATTAACACAAACATAATGGGGAAAAAAATCGAACATTATATAACTGTGCATTAGGTTTTAATATAATAACCTGTGTTAATGTTAGTCAAACAATATAAAAAAATAGGGATTCACTCACGGCTCTATAGGGACTGAACTACTTTTGTAGCTTTAATAATAAACAATTAATTTGTAATGAATACCATGCTGTGATTATTTTTGCATTTGATTATTTCTTTTTCTTACTTGCATGCTTTTGTTTAGATGTAAAATTAAAAAGTAAAAAAGCACCGTTTATTTAAAAAAAAAAATTCTAATATTAAATTTGCATCTTTGTTCTTATTTTTTTACCACAATGATAAAATAACAAAAAGAGCAATATTGTGCAGTGCACGTGCATCTAATACCAGCCTTATCCAAAGCTTCCATATATGACTGACTACTCTGCTACTCATTTGCACATCCACATCCCATTCAATGCATCTTATTCATCTGCAATACAAAATAAAACAGCATCTTAAATACATTTTTTATCTAATCCACTGTAGGATCTAGTTTAAATCTAATCTCCCACTCAACGGTGTTCGGTTCGCAAGGCCTTTGCACTAAGAGCCTGTGTGGGTGTTGAACATGTACTGTAGTTCCAGCCCCGATACACAGCAAGAGAGAGAGAGCAATCAATACCGGAGCTCAGACCAGAGCAGCCGAGCACAAAGCTGCTCATCGATGAGAGGCTCGTACTGTCTGGTCTTTAAATCTGATCTTGATGACAAAATAAGGAAGAAGTTGAAAACAATAGCAAAACAGAGAACAAGGATTGAAAGATGAGCACAACAAAACAGGAAAGGGTGTGAGAGTATGCCAGTATTCATATGTAAATGTACTTAAAGGAATCATTCAAGTGTGTGTCTGTGTGTATGAGAGAGATAATGGATTGGGGAAATGCTATTTGTGTATATTTCATAATTTATTTAAAAATACAGGTAGTGTATAAAAGTGCCTAGATTTTAAAATACAGGTATATATATAAACACACACACACACACACACACACACACACACACATATATATATATATATATATATATATATATATACATACACACTAGGGCTGGGTAATAAATATCGATTTCTCGATATTAATTGATTCTCATTTTTATGAACCGATATCGATTCTTAAATCTCAAGAATCGATTAGTCATCCTGTTTCATTTGAATGAATGGGACATTGTATATCGCGGCTGCGCGCATCCAAAAAAATCGCATTAATCTTTGTCCTTTGTTACTATTGATAGGAAACAAAGTCTCAATTTTCAAATTACGTCCATTTTCTTTAGAAATTCAAAAACATAAATACACCATATTACATACATTATAATCTTAATGTTCTTCAATATTTAATGCATATTTGAATAAATCTGGCAAGTTTTTATGACAACCACCATTTAAATGTTTATATTTCATATAATCCTCTTATTATAAAAAATAAATAAAAGTGTAATTTAACGGTGTAATTTATTACCTTCATATTAGGCTAATGAAGTCTATAGGCTACAACTAGACTCCCATAGTTTACAGCATTAGTTAAGAGATTTGATTTCCTTGAGAAAAATTGCCATTTATTGTAACTGATATCCAAAATAATCGATATTGAATCGAATTGTAATCGAAATCGAATTGAATTGTAAGCTTGTGAATCGAAATCGAATCGAATTGTGAAATTTGTCTCAATACCCAGTCCTAATACACACACATATAGACACATATAAACTATCCAGACCTCCAACTTTAAGATGTGTGTGTGTGTGTGTGTGTTATCTTGGCATACAGCGGTAGACCAGCCTCTAAAAATATTCCACATTCTCTCCACTTCACCACATGATAGGACTCAAAACAGCAGAGGCTACAGCACAGATGTAATGTAAAAGAGGGATGTGGGAATGGGTAGACAAGTGTGGCTCGTAAGTAATAAAAGGGCATATACATGAATGATGTTCATTTTGAGCTAAAGTTCTGAATCTGGAGACAATCATGGAAAGAAAGTGAGGAAGGAAGCAGGAAAAATCATTGGAAGGACTGAGGTAAGCGGCTGACTGAGGTTGACTGAGCACAAACAAGCTCCATAGGATTTCGTCAGAAACATTTATTCTTGGGGTTTTCTTCCACAGAGGACGTAAGCAAACATTAATTAAGAATGGTACTGCGTTTATACTGTACTCATAATCATTAATGATGTTTCATTGACAAAGTTCGGGAGGAGCACTTTCAGATAATTAACACGAGTGGAGAGCACTAAGCAATCAACCATAAGAGGTGTAGCAGCATCCCTCCATCACCCCTTCTCCACTCTTCTAGTCCTGGGGGGGCCCTCCCCCGGACAGCATGCCAATTACGAATTAAACTTTACTCCCTCTAATTGTATGTAATTGTAAACTCGTGAAATGTCTGTCTAATCCCAATTACCACCGATCATACTTATGTTTAATACTTGTCATTAAAGGGTTTGCACAGATCCCTAAGCATAAGTACGAGGTTAATTACTTATCATTCATGAGTTTGTCCTGCATGAAAGATACATTCTATAAATTAGTTAGTTTGGAAGAGGTAAGCTGTTACGCCTTTTGATTTGTTTTGACATGAATTTCATCAGGCGGATGATGAAAGTAGTGAAAAATAATCATATATATTTGTGTTGGAAAAAAAAATAAACTAGATTATCATAGTGAATAGGATCTTTAGACTTCTACCAGGCCTATCAACAGCAATCACATAGCAACATGCTAAAGTCACCCAGACTTTAAACACCTTAAAGGGATAGTTCAGCCAAAAATGAAAATTATCTCATAATTTAATCACCCTCAAGCCATCCTAGGTGTAAATGACTTTCTTCTTTCATTCTAGCTCTTCCAAGCTTTATAATGTGAGTGAATGGTACTCTAAATTTGGAAGCCCAAAAAAGTGCATCCATCCATCATAAAAGTAATCTATACGGTTCCAGGTGGTTATTAATAAATACCTTCTTTATTAATAACGAAGGAGATCTGCTTTATAGTAGAAAATTAAGTTTTAATTAGAATTGAAAGCAACACTGTTTTTTTTAGCTTTAGCACTGTAAAGCTGCTTGCTTTAAAGCAATCTATTTTACAATGTGCTATATAAATAAACATGACACAACTTGACTGGAAATCTAAATTGCAGACCTGGGTCAAAGGTCCACATCTAGGAAAGCATGAAGCACATATTTACATATTAATCTAAACACCGCTCTCATCAGTGTGGGTGATGTCAGGATATTGGCTAACATTATTCCAAAGGTCAAACTTCTTTTTTACCCCTAAACGAAAAACGAACAACCTTGCCGTGAGTATATCGGAGCCTTTAGACTGGTCAACACCCTAGCAAAAGCAACCCAGAACACCATAGCAACATGCTAATACCACCTAGAACACCCTAGCAACTGCATAGCGACATGTTAAATAGCCAATGATTCTATCATTGAGTTGATGAACAAACACCACTAATATTTTCCACTGAAACTGTACAAATCGAATTTACAAAATATCTACAACTTGCAAAATGTTGTATTCAACATATTTACATCATATTGGTGAAGTTTGTGGGTTTTGAGTGTGATGTATATGTTTGTCTGTGTGACTCACTAGGGCAACTGAGGGCCTCCTTAGCGGTGATGCTCTTGTTGCAGGCCGAGCAGAGTGTCGTCCCAGACACGGTGAGTGAGTTGAAGAGGTGGCCATTACTGTAGCGTGCCTCTCGCTCTCTGGCTTCTCTCTCCCGCTCCCTCATGCGTTCCTTCTCCTTATTCTAACCAGAACACAAAAACTCAAAATAAATTAATCATGCATGGTGTCATATTATATATAAATATACATTTAAATCATCTCCACCAGAGTAAAATGTGCCTAGTATCATAGTAAGAAAACACAACAACTTTGAGCTGGTCAAAGAACAATCAACACTCACAAAAAAAGACAATGATGACACTATTGCGGCTCAGTTTCTATTGTGTAACCAATTCATCTGCCGAACTGGTACAGACCGAGTTCACGAACAGGGAAACAACCAACTCAAAAGAGAACTTGCAACACCATTTCGGAAGAAACTTAAGCTGAACAATAGCCATATTGAATGTCTAGAAAGTCTGTATTCCTTGGTAAAAGATTTTATCATGAAAACACACACAGCACATTCATGCTTGTGAACTGGTTTTCATTGAAAAAGCTAATCTTTGCTTATCAGCCTTTAGGGGAAAGACAAATTAACCCAATCAACTCTCCACTATAAAAAGTCACTCATTTGGTTTAAGCAAACAATGGCTCTCTTTCTGATACAGTAACTTCTGTTTGTTTGTCTTTGTTAGGTACGTCATACCTAGTTTTCTTCAGATTTTGGCCATTATTTTGTCATCTCTTTGCCCCCCTGAGGGTCTTTTTTTGACATACAGTACAATCTGCTAATAGATTAATTGATGTAGGTTGAGCAAATTAGTAGGGGTGTAACAATATATCGTGCCACAATATAATCGCAATACAAAAATGCAACAATACGTATGGTGGATAGTGACAACAATACTGTATGTATCGTGGATAGTCCCCCCTCAAAATAAAAATTACTGTGTGATAAAAAATTCAAGTTTACAGAGGTTTAGTTTCGTTACTACATTAAACTACTATATATAATGTTGATTATAATGTATAATAATGCAATGTGGTAAAATTTGTGGGTCCTGATAATGCCATATGACTTATGTAACTTGACCAGTAAAAAGTGTCCAACATTATTTTAAATCTATCTAAATATATTAAATAAATCTAGTCTGAAAAAGTGCAAGAATATTCGTCTAAAATAATTCTGTATTTTCAGTTTCAGAATCAAGAATATTTTTATTCTGGTGTCACCATTGTCCTTGGGTTGCAAGCACCAAGTCCAAGCCTATTCATTTAAACCCACAATGTAATGCATTTTAATCAACAGTACATTTGTTGTTAACCTTTTATCTTATGTCTTGGAGTATCGCAATAACATCGTATCGTGAGTTAAGTATCGTGATATGTATCGAATCGTGACATGAGGGTATCGTTACACCCCTACTAATTAGTAGGGTTGTGAGTCGTGACGATATTAAAATGTGACAAGATTTCTTGTGGAAGTGAAAAGCTGTTTTGCAATACGCCATGACGGAGCGTGAGGGTGAAATTAGCATAGAATATGCCACCGCACCGCCACGTTTACATTACATTACCTCCACTGTCGTTTTGCTTTTCTTTTAAGAAATAAAAAACATTTAAGCAGTTGGAAAACGATCGCTAAAACTATTGTAAACGTCTGCTATGCGTGCATCCATCCATCACAAGCTACATAGTCAAACACTGATCATGTGACGAGAGTAAAGCAAGATGACTGACAAGACCATGGTGAATGATTCGTTGTGCAACGAAGCCTAAAATATGCGTCTGATAAATGTCTTGTCTTGTAGAATGTGCGCTCAACGCTGCCAATGCAACATTTCTCATTTTTATTTAAGATTTTCTATTTCAATTTCTAATATTTATATTTTATTTCAGCTTTGTTTCAAGTACACAAATACTTAGTTTCAGTTTTAGTAAACAATAACAATATGACGTGCACTAACCCATAAAGCTACCTGGAGAAAGTTATACGACCTGCAAGCTGTTATTTTTTCCTCAGTCTACTGGCTGAACAGCAAACCAGCAGAGCCATTTTACACTCTGAGCAGTCACTAGCAAAACATCCTCCATAATATAATGAACTATTTACACATTATATGTTCCTGTCTGGTGCCTTTGACGTCACAGCTCATACGCTGACAGGATATTTGCTAGAGTTTAGGACTGTGTTTGTTCTTTTGGTGCCATCGGCCAATCAGCAATGACATGAAATCATTTTCTATTGGCTCCGGAGTAATTATATGGCATTTACAGCTAAAAAAAAAACACACTGCAGCTTTAAATTAGGTAAATTGAATAAGTCCAGGCATCCATTTTGCAGTGCAACCAATTAACAGTGCAACTCTGTAAACTCAGTTACCTAACAAAAAAAGTTTTGATCTGTGTGCTTCCAGAGTCATTGTTCTTAATTATAAAAGCTTTGACCAGCAGCTGGTGTTGGTTAATATGCTAGTCAGCATTTTACTAGAAGCTCTACTTGGCCCTGGCTGATCATCTTCCTCTTTTATACATGTTTTATGATTTTATGAGTTACTTGGAAAATGAAGGAAAGAGAAAGATATATGTCCAGACAAACAATTTTTTTAAATTTATTTTAAAAGTCAACATAATTCTTAAGATATTTCGGAATAAACAAAAGCCGAAAATGGCCATGTTGGATGTTAGAAGGTCTGTGGTCCATGGTAAAATATTTTTAGATTTCATACATTTTATAGTAAGTAATAAGATGTCTCATATATTTTCACCACTGAAAATGAGACACTAAGGTCCTGTTTTGGGTTGGCTTATTCTAAAAATCGGCCTCTCTGTTTACATGCAAAGCAGGAAATAATGAGAGAGCACTTCCTCTTTCTAATCAGCAGGAGGCATGAGTAAAGGTTGCCATAGGAACATGGACATGAATTGGAAGTAAGCAACAGACAATGTATTATAAAAAATTCTTAGTGTGTTAGTGTGTAGTTGTCCAATAACCTGCAGGACGTTGCTATTAAATTAGCAAATCTAAATTGACCTAGTTTGTCCATAACCAGAACTTCCAGGTTGCTTCTGCATTGTTTGTTACGTGTATGTGTGATCATCTCTGCAGATTTGGGAAGTTGCAATAGTTCATGCTAAATCGGAGAACAAAGCATGTAGCTAGGGTGGGGTTTGTGAAGATAAAGTGACATGTTTAAAAAAAAAAAAAAAAACCTGAGTATGACTGAGAAAAATACAGAGACACACTAGGAGCAGCCAACATTTCCAAGTCTGTGTTTATAATAATAATGTCAGGCTAATAAAATGTCACTGTGCCTGCAAAATGAAAACAACCTCTGTGGTTATAGTTCACTTGAAAGTTGACATTGAATCAAGCTTTCTGTACAAAAGCATGAGCGGTATGTGCCCCAAGCACATTGTTTTCTAGGTTCAGGGAGCTTGTCTAAAGTTGGAATCATCTCCTATCAAGGAAATGGGCTGAGATTGACAGTACTTAATGTTGGTGCTCCAGTTCTAATAGTCCCAGCTCCAGATTTAGTTCAGTCTGCTGTGGCCTGATGGCCTGGATATAGCTGGCCTATGGGGAACCATGACTGATTAGTTGACATTGACATTCTTTGCAAACATTTTCATAAGAAAGCAATTTCCACTTAAGTCCACAGGAAAGTAGTAGTCGACGGATATGGATTCTTTCAATATCCAATGTCTTTATAACTCCTGTTTATGGGCCAAGTAGTTGTTAAAGGCACACTATGTAATTTTTCGCCAAGAGGTCGTTTATTCAAAACAAAGTTGTAGCTTGATGATGTCTTGATTTCGTGGAAACTTGGGAGTTCTTGTCTTCACCTCTACAGCCGGTGGTGAATGCGACAGGACTCGGGCAGAAATTATATTTATGGATGACCGGCAATGTATTAACTGGATGTATAAAACATCCAGTTTAATAAGAATCTTGTACTTTACCTCGTTTTGCTGCGCTGTGAGGAATATCTTAATAATCCTGGAAAAGTTACCTCAGAAGTACTGGTAGTTTCATTTCAAGGAGCACGGATTCAGCTGATGTAGTAAGTTATTTATTCTCTTCTTATTCTAAGTGCTTTGTTCTAATCGCGTTATTGAATAGTGTCTGTAAACTGCATAAAGACTGTTTAAAAATGAATTGCGTGTCTGTGTGTATGAATGAATGCGCACTTTTACAAACGAAATAAAAGACAATATTTCGTTAGTTTTGGATAGATTATAAATTTTTTACTATAAAATAGACATCAAATAAGCTTTTTTTAGACAGTTTCTGCTCATAAGTAAATATATAGTATGGTTTGTCAAAAATAAACGAAACAACTTTTATAGTGTTTGTTCCAATGCAAGCTATATCAAAATAATGAATCCTTAACTTTGAAATATGTATGATAAAATGCATTAGGCAACTTTAAAAAAATAATACTTTATTAAGACATTTATGGAAAAAGACAATTTTCTTTTCAAGATGTTTCTAACTCTAACTTTGAACCAATTCTATAGCATGGCCCATATAGCCTATTTGAACAAGATTTGTTTCCAAGGTATGACTAAAAATGTGCTATATGATATATAGCAATTAAATATATATATATATATATATATATGAAATGAAAGGCTCATTATTATGCGGGTCATCGTCTTCTTAGGTGAGGGGGTTGGGCCACGCATATTGCCTTTCCAAACAAAAAATGTTTTTCACAATTTAAAACAATCTGTTGTTTTATGTGAATGATTAGGCAGGATGATTTTCAGATCATTTTGAAGCAAAAACTCTACAACAGATGGCGACAACATCCATTAGTCAAGTCTTGTGGACAGATATTTAGTTTTGTGGCCTTATTTCAGAAACTTAAATTTTTCGTTTTTTTAGTAACCATGCATAAACAATATTCTCTCAAAAATACAAACATAACATTAAAAATACATGCATGTTGCTCACATATTATGGTAGCCATGTTTCTGCTAAATAGAGTGTAATTTCACCTGTGCCATTAATATGTTTATAAGCAACTGAAAAAAGCACAATGTCAGGGCATGTCAAAACATCTGAAGGTCCCCAAAAACACTGTAGACCCCAGAAAGTTAAAGATTTACTAATGTAATGATAGCCGCTGGAGCGGAATGAAGCCGCTGGAGCAATTGCTAATAAGAGATAAGCACGACACCTGGCTCAAGAGGAGTGGAGCTTTTATTATGCTGCAGAATGCTTCCTCTTCTTCTGGTCATGCATATGTGGGGTAACGCAGCACTGTTTTATCATCATATTACATACATTTGAGTGTGATGAAAGTTGTTAATGCTACTCTGTGCATTGGCTCGGCGGCTACAATATGAGACACATGTTGCACACTGCAGTGAGCTAGATCGATATTAGGCATGCCACAGTAAATATGAATGGTACTTGTGGTAAATCAAGAAAATGAGATTTAAACAAAAAGACTAATTATGTTGAGCTGTATAACAATGATTCATTTTCTGATTAATGTATCCAAACAGATGTTTGGTGTTTTTACAAAATAAAATCGGAAATCAAGTGTAACACAGGTATGATGTCATTGATAGGCAAAGATTGGACTGGACTCCTGGTTAAAACTGCATATTTCTCTGGATTCAACCATTCTTATAAACATTTAGGATAATACAAGTACACAAATCAACAAAATATATCCACAAGTTTCCTACGCCCCATGAAGCCTTGCGTCAAAAGTGGGCGCGTCTTCCGGTTCGAAGTAAACAAAGCGCGACTTGACATACTACACACTCGTTCATTCAACAGTTGACAGTCATTCAAGTTATAGCGATCCAAACTAGCTAACGATGTGGGAACACAACCTCAACGAAATTAAAAAGGGTGAAATAACAGTACCTTTACCCTCCGTAGTTACCTTGTTGGGAGTGTTATAATAACATTATTAATAATCAATACTCATCAAGGCATGGTGACATACAGTTGTGTGAGCTGACAAACAATTAAAATAAAAAAATACACACTTAGTCATTGTGCTTTGGAGTTTATTCAAAATTATAAATGAATGTGCTACTTGAATACATTACACATTTGGTATTCTGTCAACACAGGCTTTGATCCTGAGTTTAGGTGTAACATCAGTAGCGAACAGCCAAACACATGCTGATAGATTTTATAGAATATTAAGAATTTAAACAAATGTACACAGGAAGATTCGTCGTCTTTTGGGAGGTAATGGAAACTAACGTTACAGTCGTTGGCAGGATCACTCTGATTTCGTTTTCGGCTTAAGTTCAAAACAATCACGTTTAAGCCACTGAATTAGTTTAGTCCAGTTATACATACAACCGCGAACAGCACATGTTGTCCCTGAGCTCCGTAACGACATCTCTCATAAAGATTTGCGTCTTTAAATAGTAAAACAATTCTCCGAAAAACAGCTAGCCTCTTCGCTAACTAACACACAAAATACCATTGGAATGCTACTTCCGCCACCTTAGCGGAGGTTTTACCCACTTTATTTTTTACAGGAGCGCCCCTCGGAAACTTGTGTATAACATTGTTTTAGTGATTTTTGAATATTTTGATACAAAATTCTTACATAGTGTGCCTTTAAAGGCTAAAAACTAACCAAGATCGGACGATTATATCCATAAATCTCTGCAGAAAAAGGTAAACACACGGGCAATCAAACTAGACCCTGACTTGGAAGCTGCTCTTGGCTACTTTTAAATTTCTCAAACTGAAATCTAACCTTTGACATTAGAAGAAGAGGTGATGAGAGGTTGGTTGTGTGCTTATGTGTGAGCCTTCGGACCTGAACCTGGAATTGATGCTTTAACTGAGTGCTATTTCTATGGCAACCTCTCTTTTGGCTCTCTTCTTGAATGTTTCTCTGTGCGCGCACACACACAGTCTGTTGTTCAACATTCCCACTCAGTAACACCTACACAACTCAAACTCATGCTGAAGCTAATAACTGGACAAAAAAGGTGCATATCAAAAGCAAAAAATCAATATAACCTTCTACACAAGATGTCTCTACACATCAGAGTTAAAACTGCTCTGAGCAGGATCTGTGTTGCTCCAAATTCTGTGTAATTTCACATTAAAGTTCTAACCCATAATAAAGGTGACTCTGCTTTGTGACACTGCTTTTTACTGTATAATTCATTTGTTTCTATATCCATAATCGCATTATGAAGACATTAATTTCAACCTGTAATTCCTAGTAAATGTACCTGCATACTGCATGCAGTTTCAGATACAGCTTGTGTTGCCCTTGCATCATACCAATGACATCACACTGAATAAAAGCCATAAACTTTTACAGTCCTGGAAAATATTATTCATTGTAAAAAAACAGCAACGTTAACATTTTAGTCTGTCTGGCCCTTTAACCCTTAGGCTATTCTATAATGATGAGGAAGAGGATATAAGAGGATTTAAGTGCAAATTATTTCCCAGCACACGTTTATACACAACTTGTAATGTATTTTTATTATCCCAAAACACACTCAGAGCTTTTCTTAAGTAGTGTTTTCTTTGCTTTGGAACACATTATATTATGAAAATACATAGATACATTTGGATTGAACGAACTGAAAAGACTTCAGCTATACTTTTCAAAACCGATTATTTCTAGTCAATGTTATAGACCGTGTACGCGCTAAAATGCCTTATCGGGTAAACCACAATGACGAACAAATATTAAAGAGGACAATTCAAACATAGCGTCTAAATTGTTTCAATTCTTGAGATAAGCTGGTTAAAGCACACGTCACTGCACTTACCCGCTGACTGATCTCTCTCATCCTTTCCTGGCGAAGTTTCGACAGATCCGCTACTCGAGACATTGCGATATTTTAAACGTCTTTAGTTCAACGAAAAACGAATCCTCGTACGGCAAAATCACATGTATATCCCATTAATTACGATAAAAGTTCCTTTTGGTCTGGATGTGTAATAGCAGCGTTTTAACAGGCAGGAGACATTCACAGAGAAGCGCAGTGCTACAACTTTGAGAGAAATACGCTTTTCCTCCCTCCCTCTCTCTATCTCTCTCTCTCTCCTCCCCTCCCCTTCAGTGAAACGGTGTTGCCTCGTTCAGGAAGTGCAAAATGACTATCCCACACCCCCTCTATTCATATTAAAACATTTACTGTAATTCTAGAACGCACAGATGACCATAATATGTAATAATATGTGGTTAATAAACTGTTGGTAGGGCCTATTTGAGTCTCTCCTATGAAAAATGATGCCATATTTTAAATATTTCTACTAATCAATAAAAAAGAATCAATTTTATTTTATTCAAGATGTGAACGTCTATATATCTCTCCTTAAATCTGTTTTGTTCCATTCATAAAGTCAACCCCCTTGAGCACAAGTTTTGCAATGTCAAATTAACTTACCTTTCTGAAGGCACAATGAAGCCATTTCCCTATGTAGCCTATTCATTTAACTGTGATTCATTTCATTTTCTGAAATAATATGTAAAATAATAATAATAAAAAAACTATTGACTATTGTTGTTTAAATACAATAGATGCCACCATCTGTCGTGATAGTGAAACAACAGCAATGAAGACTCTCAGTCTCTGTGGGTGAACTCTTTCAAACAATGACGTCAACTTTAGCACCAACACCTATTCAGCATTTCTCAGAGATCTAGAAGGAACTAAGACTAATACTCGGAAAGCTTGTGGTCTACAGGCAAAAAGCACCCATGAGTAAAATCCGACCAGTTATACTTCAAATGAAAATGAAACAATATATTGTCAGAATCAGAGGTAACTTATTATGGTTATTATAATGGTATTATGGTCAATTGGTATATAATAATGAAGACATAGTTACAACCTGAAAACTATGTATCCATTTCTAAATGCTGCAGTATTTTAGTGGCTCTGCATGCACCTCTTTGTACCGGGAAAGAAGGTAAATGGTGGACATTTTCTTTTGAGAAGAGAGCCGAGGGGAGAGGAGAGGAGAGGAGGGGAGATTCTTTTCCCGCCTTGGCCACATCTGTCGCCATGCCAACAGTGTACTTTGGCTGGGTTATGAGGGGAGCCTGGAAAGTTTACAGTGGGCGGCAAGGTTTTGGGTTTATATGGACACATTCATACAGTACAAGCGTGCAAAAGACTGGTTGCTCTGGTGTTTTCTTTTTAAATATGCTGCATGGTTTAAAGCTAGTTAAATCTCTCGGCAGATTAAAGCAAGATTAAAGCAGGTCAAATCTTTCAACAGATGTACCGTCCCATCTAGACATTTTGGATTCGCCAAACAATACTGACTGGGGCTCAGACTTACATAATAGTCTACATAATCTGGATGTGGAACAGAAGAGCAGAGATTGGAAGTTCCAGAATCTCATCCGTCCACCAAACACCATCAGTATTTCAGTAGATAATGAGTATATGGTGGCTCTTTCTGTCAAATCTGCCAGCTCTTCAACTTTAAGCACAATTCTCTCTCTCTCTCTTTCTCTCTCTGGTTCACTCTGTCTCCAAGGAAGGACAGATTGCACTGTGGGCGGACTTCCACACAAGTGTTTCAACACTTGTTCTCCCTCTTACTCACGATATCTTGAATTTTATGCACCCTATTTTTCTTTCTTGTGTTGGTAATAACCAATCTGTGGCATGGGACCAGCTACATTGTTTATTAGCAGTCAGATTTCAGCCCCTGCAGCACTCTTGACCGAATCAATAATGATAAATACTCTGCCCCTGTACTCGGATACTGCTGATGTTTCTGGAGCGATCTGCTGCAAGCTATGCTAACAAATGCTAATAAGCGAGATGCCACTTCATAATCAGTGCCAGTTCAACAAGTACACTGACTGCAAATCTAATATAGGCTGATCTTGTTATTCATCATTCTCAAACTTAAAAATAACTGTAAGAACAAAATAATAATAATTATTATTATATAAATATCCAGCCTTTTTTGCTTTTTTCACTTTTTTAGATTAAAATTACTTTTAAAATGTATTTGAAAAATATAAATAAATAAATCAAATCTCAAAAACGTTAAAAATCATTTAAACCTAAAACAAAGATAAGGGTTAAACTATCCTATAGAAAAGAAAAAGTGATTACCTTTTAATCAAAACGTTTAAAAAAAAGTAAAAGCTCATTCGTTTTTTTTGTTTTTTTTCAGAGCTCTAGTACACACTCTAAAGTTTAGGAGTGAAAACTGAATTTAAATACAGGAATGAATCCCCTAAATTACCGTTCTATGTGTGTACGGAACATGAATCATTCCAACAATTGACATCATGGTAACCATATCAATGTTCTGGAATCTTGCATGTTTGGTATCTGCAGTTTTTGACCCAAATAATATTACAGATACCACAGATTTGTCATGTTCTGCAATTTTAAAGGTGCTATATGTATTTTTTAGCGGCCTCTATCGGTGATGTTTCAGATTGCAACCAATTTTTATGGTAGCTCATGGTACAGGCCACACTGAGACTTTCAACACACCTGAGAAAGCATCACACAACATGTTGGAAACTCATGTAAACTCCCACTGCAACGTTACAATAATAGGCTTCTTTTATCAGCTTGACGGTGCTGGCATTCGTGTATCTTTCATAAGGCATTTTACTAACATAAGGCATTTTACTAACTATTCGTGTATCTTTCACAATCAGGCAGCAATGTCAACATAGATGAATGTATAATATGATAATGAAAACGGTTAGTGAACCAGACTGAACAATTTCAGCGTAATGGGCCTTTCACACAGGACGTGTAATGCGCTACGCTATGAAACCCATTCATTTCAATGGCTTGCGCCGCGCAAAGATGTTTTTTTGCTGCGTCAACCAAAGCTTAAGCGCACCATTGACGTCCTCGTGCGCACGCCAGGGTCGAAGTTCAAAATAGTTCACCTTTTGCCACTGCGCTCTGTGACGATTACCAGCGCGGCCAATAGAAACGGGACATCCAAACAAGCACGGAAATCAAAATGGATAAACGGCAAGTACTATGTGTCGGAATTTCCTGAACTGTACGATACAATTTTGAGGTCGTATAGGGATATGTTATAGATATAGATACGTAGGGTTGGGTATCGTTTGAATTTGAACGATTCTGATTCCGATTCCGATTCCTTGTTTCGATTCCGGTTCCTAACGATTCTCGATTCCGATTCTTTTAAGAGGCAGGGTCAAAAAAGTTTAGCTAACCTTGCTAACCAACGGCCTTTCTGAAGGAAATAATCCTTTCTGAAGGAAATACTCCTTCTGTCACAAATACTCCTTTTGTCCCAAATTTTGCATTTTGCCGAGATTTCGTTATTTTTAGAAAAGTGAAGCCACACTTTGGATCGCCAACGTAAGCTACTCATGTTCGACTCGCGCGGTTATGCCAACACTTCCGGTAGCCGCTTCTTCATTGGTGTTGTTCAGCGGTTTCTTCTTCCGCTCGGCGGACTGTGAATATCGAAACTAGGAATCGAAATTTTAACTTTTGAACGATTCCGGGAAAAACGAAAAGTTAGTCTCGGTTCCAATCGATACTCGATTCTCGATACCCAACCCTATAGATACGTTAGATATGGATATGATATCGATATGTTAATGATGACATATAGATCTCCCGCTTAAAGTTTTTGAAAACTCCGCCTACTTTGCTCTGGCAAAGCGCAGCGCAAAATCACGTTGTATCTGAAGAGCAACGCTGAACCCATTCCGCGTCCTGTGTGAAAGGCCCATAACAGTTTGTGTTGTGCTGGAGGCAGGTTGTTTTTTGGTGTTATCAGGCTCACGTCATTAGATGCAGTGCCATCGAATAGACTGTATATAAAAAGGAGAGAGGCTCGGGAGCGCGCATGCACGTCACATCCGATGGATTTCGCAGAAAATCCGAAAAGGAGACTTCACATAGAAATACTGGCCTTCAGAGGTAATAGCAAAACCCGGCAAGTGGATCATTGTAATGTGTGATTTCAACCCCTTCACACACAGGCAATAAAAAAAGGAGTCCTTTAAGAAGAAAAGTTACATATAGCACCTTTAACAAAACCAGTTTGGTTCTGTACACACTGCATAGACTTTAGTAAATGTGGTTGCCACTTCTGTAAATTACGGAACAATGTGTGCAGCACAGGATTAAGCACAAAAAAATGTTACTTGACAACCAAATGTAACTGCAGTGTGTAAGTAACCCGAAGAGATCTAGAAGTCTCAAACTCAAAAGTCACAGAAATATGCAATCAAAAGTCAGAAATTTCAATATGAACACATATTTTGAATCAAACTCTCACAAAATCCAAATTATGTCAGCTATGCAATAGACATTCATTTTATAAAGAAATAACTCATTTGACACTACTTTGGGAGAAAGATCCAAGACAAAGTTGATAATTAAATAGTTTCCTGATCTAAGAGCAAAAAAGCTCCTTTGTCATTTTATAGATAGAACTTTTTATTGGGTCTAAGAAATAGAGCTCATTGCGTTATGTGCAGTTTGTATAACAATTTGCATTGCACTGAAGCTGGTAGTTACAATGATAGTGGGTGTTAGCTGTGGCCCTGACTCTACACTGAAATAGATGGATAGAAAGAGAGAGAATGAAAGAGAGAGAGAGGAAGCGTTGCTGTGGGTTACCACTCTATAGAGGAGGCACTCTTCAGAGCTGCTTTCTGCGGCAGATGAGAAAATGTGTTTTTCTGTGTGAGTGTGTATATGACAGTAGGAGTAATAGTGAGGACAGTGTGTGTGTGTGTGTGTGTGTGTTTCTGCAGAGATAATGACCAGGTTCTGGAGGCTGAAGCCCACGAGGCCTGTCATTCAGCACAGACTGTGTCACACAACACAACGTGATGCCTTAATGTGAATGTGTGTGTGCACATTTGTATTCATGAGTGTATTTCTAATTTTTTGCTAAGTGAGATGCAACATCAATCATAGAATGTTTGGGGTTGTTATTATTTTTTTTAAAGAAGTCTGTTATGTTTTTGAAGAAGTCTATTCTCACCAAGACTGCAATTATTTGATCAAAAATACTGTAAAAACAGCAATAATTTTGCAGTTA